TCTGGTATACAGTTGGTTAGATTTAGGGTATCAGAGAGGGCTTCCTGGAGGAGAGGACGTGTGAGCTGAGACCATGATAAGCTGTTTCCTGATTAAGATACACTGAAAAGAGAAGGGCCCGTGGAGTGTAGCTCAGAAGAGCCCCTGCCTAGAATCCCCCAGTGAGGGGCTGGGAGTGTGGCTCAGGGGTAGAGCCCCTGCCTAGAATCCCCCAGTGAGGGGCTGGGGGTGTGACTCAGTGGTAGAGCCCCTGCCTAGAATCCCCCAGTGAGGAGCTGGGGTGTGGCTCAGTGGTGGAGCACTTGTGGTGAGCTTGCAGGAGGTCTGGGGTGTCATCTCCATCTGGTGAACTGGGGGCGGGTGGAAACAGGATACTACATGCTTATGATAATAAAAGACAGTGTCAAGTAACCTTTATTCCAAGCACTGTGTTTGGGGACACCTGCTGTGTCACCCCAGGTGCTAGAGACACTTGTAACCCAGCAGTCTCCCTCCCCATAAGCTTCACTCCAGCTGAAATGCAGTGGGTAAGCCCCAGGGCAAGGGGGTGAGAATAGAACCAGAAACCCAGCGCTGTGCCTGGTGACTTAGGCCAGTGCCTTCACCGCTGAGTCGGTTTCCTCTCCTTTGACACAGACAACAGTCTTCCTGGGGCTGTTTTTAGGATTAAATGGGGTATGGCACACAGAGTCTTTGTCATGGTGCCTGGAATGTTCCAGGTGCTTAGTAAACAGGAACCTTGATTAATCATCTCCTCACTTCCTGGATCCCACGCTGTCCTACACCCTGACTCCCTGCTTAGCACCTGGCTCCCTCCAGTTTGCTGTCTGGGTCTGTGGAGAGCTGGGAGAGAAAACAGTCCTTGACCCTGGCGGCTGTGCAGGGTGAGCAGAACGCTTCCTTCCCTGTAGGCTATGGACTCTCCCAGTTCACACGCCAAGCTTGCTGCGCTCCTGATTCAGACGTGAAATAGCATGAAAGAGTTGATTGGGGCCTGCTGTGTGTTTCTTTTGAGCAGTGATGGGAATAGGTCCAGAGCCCTGTGCTGTGTCTTCACACTTCTGCTGAGCTACACCCCAGCCCTTCTCTAGTTTTCTGTTGCATCCCTCTCCTGGACTCTCCCTCCACCCCAAACTCTTTTTCTTTCCTTTCATCTCTCTCTCTACTATTCTTCTGTAGTTTTTCTTTTTCTCATTACATTTGTTGTGTTTAGGTCTAATGGCAGCTTCTGGTTCTCTGCTTCCAGTATGTGGGTTCTGGGGATTGAACTGAAAGTCTTCAGTTTGCCAGCAAGCACTTTTACCCCCACCTCCCACCCCCAGCATCTAGCTGGCCCTAATTTTTGTTATTCTGAAAGAGGATCTCCTGACACCAGCACTCAGGCAGGCGGGTGAATCTCTGTGGGTTCAAGGACAGCCTGCTCTAGGTAGAGAGTTCCAGGACAGCCAGGACTACTCAGAGAAACTCTGTCTCAGAAAACAAAAACAAAGCAGAGTAAATGAGTATTTTATTTATTTATTTTTGAAGCACGGTCTCCTGGGGTCACTCTGGCCTAGAAGCTGTGTAGACCAGGCTGGCCTTGAACTCACAGAGGTCTGACTGGGATTGGATTAAAAGTATGGGCCATGCCCTGCTGAGATTTTATTTTTGGAATTATGTCTTTACATGTGTTGGGGGGGAGGATGCACATGAATTTCGTGCCTATGGAGGCAAGAAAAAGGTGTTGAGTCCTGTGGAGCAGGAGTTACAGGCAGTTGCGAGCTGCCCCGTGATATCCAGTGTGGGTAACTGGGGTCCTCTGTAAGGACACTACATGCTCAACCTCTGCGCCTTCTCTCCAGCCTATCTATACAGTGGGGCTGGAGAGATGGCTCAGGGTTCAGATCGCCTGCTCATACAGAGGACCTGGATTTGGTTCCCAGACATGATGGTGTACAGCCATCCATAAACTCCAGTTTCAGGGGAGTCGGTGCCTTCTCACCTCCATGGGCCCCAGGCTACATATGGTTCGCATATGTGCATGTAGGCAAAACTTTTATAAACCAGATTGAATTTTTTTTTTTAAAGATCTACTATGGTAACAAATTGCCACCAAATCTGAATGATTTAGAACAGCAAAAGTTTACCTTTTTTGTGGGCTGGGGGTCCTGCTCTGTGCTGTCCCCCTTTAGGGGCCGAGGCGTGTTCCCTTGCCCAGCTCCCCACCTCCAGTATGGAGTTGAACATGGAGCATCTGAATTGGCTAGCAGCTTCCACCTGGAAGTAGCACTTCCTGTCACAGTTCACTGGCACAGCAAGTCCATAACCTCAGTTCAAGAGGACAAAGAGGGAGCTGGAGAGGCACAGTGGTTTCCAGAGGATCCAGATTCAACTCCCAGCACTCATGGGGCAGCTCACAACTGTCTGTAACTCCAGGATCCAACACCCTCACACAGACAAAACACCAATAAAATAAAAATAAATAAATTTAAAAAGGCAGGGGTGGCTGGAGAGATAACTCAGTGGTTAAGAGCACCGACAACAGCTCTTCCAGAGGTCCTGAGTTCAGTTTCCAGCCACCATATGGTGGCTCACAACCATCTGTAATGATATCTGATGCCCTCTTCTGGAGTGCAGGAATACATGCAGATAGAACACTATAGACACAATAAATAAATTAAAAAAAAAAAGAGGACAGCTGGGTGGTGGTGGCGCACGCCTTTAATCCCAGCACTTGGGAGGCAGAGTCAGGCGGATCTCTGTGAGTTCGAGACCAGCCTGGTCTACAAGAGCTAGTTCCTGGACAGGCTCCAAAAAAAACCACAGAGAAACCCTGTCTCGAAAAAACCAAAAAAAAAAAGAGGACAAGCCAGAACCTTTGGTGACCAGCCCTCTGTTGGTCACTATCATCTGCCTTGTGTCTCTCTCTGGTTGGCCTTTATTCCTCTGCTCCTGCCTCTATGGTTTGCTCCATATCTGGCCTTATTTAGAAGCTTGGCTTCACATTTGGTGACTGTGGGTTTTAAGGTATATGGATTTGGTGATTGCTACAGTAACCAGACCTAGCCTACCCTATCTTTCCTGATATGGCAAAAAAGTAATAGAGGCAGACTCTTCCCCACGAGCTAGTCTTATGGTCTCTGGACGAAGTGGGGTTCTATGACCCCAATAAGCTTGGGGACCATAGCCCCATGAAGCCCCCAGGAGGGTACTTCCCTGACCTTGACCATACCTCATGCTCACCCTCCCTACAGAGCAAACCCTGGAAGAAATTGAAGACGGTTCTGAAATACTCGCCCTTCATGGTCTCCTTCCATAAGCACCACTACCCTTGGGTCCAGCTTTCCGGACATGCTGGTGAGACTGGGGGAAAGGGTAGACAGACAGGCAGAGCTTGGCACGGGTGTGCGGACTAGGGAAAGCTCTGCTCTGTGTAGATTCAGTGTCTTTTCTATCACCGCGGTGACAGTCCCCACCCTACGGGGCTGCTAGGGGAAACAGTTGGCCTAGTCAGTATCTTAACTATTTGTTTTGAGACTCTGTTGCCCTAGCTGGCCTAGAATTTACTCTGTAGACCAGATTGGCCTTGGACTCAAAGATCCTCCTGCTCCTGCCTCCCAAATGCTGGGATTAAAAGATTGCACCCCCACACCTGGTGTGGCACGTGTTTATAATCCCAGCGTTTAGAAGGCTAAGGTAGGGGATTGCCAAAATAAAGACCAGCCTGGGCTACATAGCAAGACCAACAAAGCAAAGCAAAACTGTCCCTTTTGTCAAAAAAAAAAAAAAAAAAATTTGGAATTCCACCTTCTCCATGTATGTGCTCCAGATAATGCCAGTACTGTGAAAAGTATTTCCCTAGAGTCTTGTTGTGAAGTTGACACTTGCCTTGAATTCACTGTGTGTCAGTCCTCTCACCTGAGCCTTCTAATTTCTGGGACTATAGGTTCAAGTCACAGTGTCTAGCCAGAATTAATTTAGATAGACCCAAGTGGCTGGTCCCTGGAGAATCAAATGCAGGTCTCTTGTGGAGAGCCATGTTGTCAACTCAGATCTCACAGAGTTCCCTCAGAAGACAAGATCACTCATTCAAAATTACAAAACAGGGCTGGTGTGAGATGGCTCATCGAATATAGGCATTCTCTGTGCAAGCCTGATGACCTGAGCTGAACCCCTGGAAGCCATGTAGATGTTGAAGGAGAGAACCGCCTCCACAAGATTATCTTGGCACAGACTCGCCCCTAATCGCACCATGCACAGGTTCACACAGAATAATAATGAAACATTTTTTAAATTACGAAATTGGATCTGATGAGGTGGCTCAGTGGTTAAGAGCATGCATTGCTCTTAGAGGCCTGTGTTGGGTTCCAGCATCCATGCTGGGCAGCTTGCAGTCACTTGTAACTCCAGCTCTGGGGGATCAGATGCCTCCTTCTGGCCTCTGTGAACACTCTCACATATCCATACATATAAAAGTAAAAATAAATATTTTCTAAAATTACAAAATAAATAATGGTATATGCTGTAAATAAGACCCTGAATAAACAACGGAGAGTAGAAATAAGTAGAAATAAATCCATCTAAAGCCAGGCGTGAGCTGGGCACACCAGCCTTTAGTCCCAGCACGGGGATCTTTGAGTTCAAGGCCATCTGTCTCAGAACAAAAACAACAGAAAGGGAGGGAGAGACAGCATTGCTGGGGTGTCCAAAAGATGGCAATGGCTGGTATGATACATACCGGGAAATAGCGGGTGGCAGGTCTCGGTCTGACGCAGTCTCTTCTTGGTCTTGCTTCACACAGGGAACTTCCAGGCCGGTGAGGATGGTCGGATTCTGAAACGTTTCTGTCAGTGTGAGCAGCGCAGCCTGGAACAGCTGATGGGAGACCCCCTGCGGCCTTTTGTGCCTGCTTATTATGGCATGGTGCATCGGGATGGGCAGGCCTTCAATCAGATGGAAGATCTCCTGGCAGACTTTGAGGGCCCCTCTATCATGGACTGCAAGATGGGCAGCAGGTGGGATTGGGGCAGCCATGGGACAAGGTCAGGGAAGGTGGTGGATAATTTTGAAAAGAGGGACAAATCAATTCAAAGTACCTATATCAGTGTGTGTTCCTGCCAGTGGTGCATGAAGGTTCCAGGTGTGCTGGCCTGCCGTGATGCTTCCAGGTGTGAGGGTTCCAGGTGTGAGGGTTCCAGGTGTGCAGGCCTGCCATGAGGGTTCCAGGTGTGAGGGTTCCAGGTGTGCAGGCCTGCCATGAGGGTTCCAGGTGTGAGGGTTCCAGGTGTGAGGGTTCCAGGTGTGCAGTCCTGCCGTGAGGTTCCAGGTGTGAGGGTTCCAGGTGTGCAGGCCTGCCATGAGGGTTCCAGGTGTACAGGCCTGCTGTTCCTTCTTGGTATTCTTGGTTCTATCTTGGTATCACTTGTTTCATTAACTTAAACTACTGGATATATAATGGAATTACATTGTATTTGTGTATTTTTTGTTACTGTTTTCTTTTTCTTTTTGAGAGTATTTCCTGTAACCCAGGCTGGTCTCAACTCAACCTGGCTGTGTAGCCAAGGATAGCCTTGAGTGTCAGGTCCTCCGGGCTTCACCGCCTAAATGTTATCTATGATTGCAGACATATGACACCTTGAGGTTTATGCTGACGATGAGACCCCGAGGGCTTTGTGCATGTTAGGCAGGTAGCCTGCCAACTGAGCCACATTCCCAGCCCCTAAGCCAGAGTTTTACTTATTTGATTATTAGTTCCTAGAGCTAAGGACTCACTTTGGTTGTAGTGGTTCCTCAGTCAATACTGTCTTTTGTTTTATGTTGGTGCTGGGGGTTGAATGTAGGGCTTTGTTAATGCTGGGCAAGCCCTGTTAGCTACATCACTGAACTACATCCACAGCCCTGGGTTTGTTTGTTTTTTACTTTTGTTTTTGAGACCAGATCTGTTGTATAGCCATGGCTGGTGTGGAATTCAGTATGTAGATTCAGCTAGTCTCAGACTTATGGCAATCCTCCTGCCTCTGCCTCCTAAGTGTTAACATTGTAAATATACAACATGGTCTTAGGGTTTCTATTGCTGTGAAGAGACACCATGACCACCGCAACTCTTATGAAAGAAAACATTTAATTGGGGTGGCTCGCTATGGTTTCATAGGTTCAGTCCATTATCAGGACAGGAAGCATGGTGGCCTGCTGGCAGACATGGTGCTGGCTACATCTTGATCAGAAGGCAACATAAAGTCAACTGTGACTCTGTGAGTAGCTTGAGCACACGAGAACTCAAAGCCACCTCCACAGTGACACACTTCCTCCAACAAGGCCACTCCCTTTGGGGGCCATTGTTTTCAAACTACAACCACCATTCTTTCTCTTTTTTATTTCATATTCTGTATATAAATCCTTTGTTTTACGTACATATAATGCGCACACGAGAGAGAGAGAGAGAGAGAGAGAGAGAGAGAGAGAGAGAGAGAGAGAGAGAAAGAGAGGTATATTTTCTAAATTTCCCGTTTTCTCTTTTTTTCCCCTGGAACCGAGGACCAAAGCCATGGCCTTGCATTTGTCATTACACTCTCTTAATACCATTAATTCTAATAAGAAAAATCTTTGTTCTTTCCTCGAACCCTCTCCCAGTCGGGGCAGGTTACAGACACTTGGTGCTCTTCCTAGCGCCCATGTGGTGGCACAGCAGCTGGCACCTCCAGCCCCAGGGCCTCTCTGCCTGCTGCTGGCTTCCGAGGGCTCCTTCGTGCACATGGCGTCCATATATCCACACAGACTCACAGATAAATAACAAAATAGATAAGAAGTCTTGCCTTTAATTCCAGCTCTCAGAAGGCAGAGGCAGTTGGATCTCTATGAATTTGAGGCTAGCCTGGTCTAAACAGTAGTTCCAGACCAGGAAGGCCACATAGTGAAACCCTGTTTCAAAGTTAAATAAGAAAACTCTGGTGAGGCTTATGAGACAACTCACTGGGTAAGCGCTCATGCCACCCAGCCAGCCAGCCTGAGTTCCACCCCCAGGACCCGTGTGGTGTACAAACAACCAGCTCCTGAAAACTGTCCCCTTAGCCACATAAGCATGTTCCCTCTGCAGTAAAAGTACATGTTTTTAAAAATCTGAAATTTTTAAAATTTAAAAAATTTGCTGTGAAATTGGAAACTTTATACAATAATTCGAAAATCTGAAAACCTCAAAATCGGAAGTAATTTTGGTTCCAAGTATTTTTTATTTTAATTTTCCTTTTATTTATTTATTAAATTTTATGTGTGGGCCTGGTTTGTGTCTGTACCATTGTGTGTACCTTGTGCCCAAGGAGTCCAGAAGAGGGCTTCAGATCCTCTGGACCTGGAGTCACACAGACAGTTGTAAACTGCCATGTGGGTGCTGGGAATTTTTTATTATGTGTGCGGATGTTGTGCCTGCACATGTATTTGTGTGCCTTATACCCAAAGAGCCCAGAAGAGGGTGTTAGATCCCTTGGGACTGGAGCTGCCGATACTTGTGACCCACTTTGTGGCGCTGGGACTGGAACTCGGGTCCTCCGAAAGAGCACAGCGCTCTCAACTGCTAAGCCGTCTCTTCAACTCCTGGTCCCCAGTGTTTTAGATAAGTGACAGCCCAGCCAAGCGCCAATAAGCAGAATGTCAGACGTTGTTTTGTTTTGTTTGCCATCGTTAATGGCCTTGTGTGTGAAGAGTCTTTGTCTATTAAACAGCATGAAACCATTCTCCTGTTTTCTCCCATAAGCTTTGTTGTTTTAACTTGTGCAGTTTACTGGGTTTTGTTTGTTCTGTTGTTTTGAGATAGTCTCACTACACGTCTCTGGTTGGCCTTGAACTCACAGGCCAGCATCTGCCTCCAAGTGCTGGGCTCAAAGGCCTGAGCCTCCATCCCCGCCAGGAAGTGCGAGCCTTCCAGCTCTGTGCCTAATGGTTTGCTCTGTCACATCCTGTGTGCTCAGGACCTACCTGGAAGAGGAGCTGGTGAAGGCACGAGAGCGGCCCAGGCCCCGGAAAGATATGTATGAGAAGATGGTGGCAGTGGACCCTGCGGCCCCCACTCCTGAGGAGCATGCTCAGGGTGCAGTCACCAAGCCCCGATATATGCAGTGGAGGGAGACCCTGAGCTCAACTTCCACCCTCGGCTTCCGGATAGAAGGCATCAAGGTGAGGGCCAGGAGAAAGCCAGCTTGTTTGACACTCGGAGTTCTGGGACTGGAGCAGTGGACTGGCTTCATATGGAGCATGGGTGGCAGGGGATACTAGAAGGAAGCAGACCCATGTCTGCAGAGTCCAGACAGCCCGGTGTGGGGAAGGCCCCACTTCCCATCCCTGCGTGTAGCAGAGGCAAGTGAGGTTTCTTTATCTACTAGGACATCTTCATATACCAGCTTCTCTTTCCCCAAGTCCAGACTTTTCTGTGTCCCTGGCTTCCCTGACCCTCTTCCCTCCATTCTGGAACGAAGTGGCTGGAAGGGTCTTTGAAGTTATATTCCATAAATTAAATAGACTTGGAAAGCTGGGCATCATAGCTCACACCTTCCCTCCCCATGAAGAGGTTAAGGCAGAAGGGCAAGTGGCTTCAATCCGAGTTACAGCGTAAGTTCAGGACCAGCCGTGTCCTGAAAAGCTAAAAGAGAAAAAAGAGGCCTGGGGGGTGTGGCTCAGTGTTAGAAGACTAAGTTTGTGTGAGGCCCTGGGTTCAATTCTTAGCACTACACAAACAATACTAACCAAATAAAGACAGGAGCTATAGCGTGGTAATAGAGCACTTGCCTAGCACGTATGAAGGAGATGCTTGGCTCAGATCTCCACCCCTCATCTGTTTGAATAATTAATCACATAGTCAATAAGCGAAAGTGGCCAGGTGTGGTGGCTCATGTCTGTAACCCCAGCACTTGGGAAGTTGAAGCAGGGATTAGGAGTTTGAAGCGCAAAGAACTTTTGCTCATTTATTTTGTGGGCCCCAGGTCCTACATGCCCAGTGTCTAGGAAGTAGATACCAACACACGAGGCCTCTGAGGCTGAGGCGCGTAGTAGGTCTTGTCAAGTTGAATGAGGTAGTACACTTGGGAGAAGGAGGCAGGAGAACCAGGAGTTCAAGGCTAACCTGAGCTCCGCTGGGAGTTTTTCAGTCAGCCTCAGATACACAGGACTCAGTTGATGGACTGGCTCTAGCTGCTCCGCTAGACAGAAGCAGAATCGCGGCTGAAGCCAGCTCCCAGTCCCCTAACAGCCTGTTTTGCAAGATGAGCTCAGCCGTGACTGTTTTGTTAGATGTGGGAGGACAGGTTACATAAAAGTGTGGCAGGGGACTGGGTCGCGTTGGGCCAGGCAGGTGGACTCTTTGCCCTGAGTAGGGGTTATCTTGGCTGGTGGGGTACCCTAGGGGTACCTGAGGTTGCCCAGCGTTGGGGTGAAGCAGCACACGTGACTGCACTTCACCTCTTGCTTTGCAGAAGGCCGATGGGACCTGCAACACCAACTTCAAGAAGACACAAGCACTGGAGCAGGTGACGAAGGTGCTGGAAGACTTTGTAGATGGAGACCTTGGGCTCCTGGTGAGTGGGGCACTCATCTCCTGACCTAGCCACCATTTATTGTTGCTTCTGAGTCATGTTCCCTTGCTTTGGGCTGGGCTAGGTTGGGCTGGCCTGCTCCTGGCCAGTCTTGCTCAGAGTCTGCCGTCAGCTGGTGGCTTGGCTGAGACTAGCTGGCTTTTATGTCTACCTTGGTTCACAGTCTTATTCTGTCTGTTCAATATAGCAGGCTAGCCCGTGCTGTTCTCACCATGGGAGCAGGAAGCTAAGATAGCAGGTGTTTTGTGTGAGGTCCCCTGGTGTCTAGGCATAGATAGCAAGACCACATTCTGTTGGGAAGAACAGGTCCTATCATGAGAGAGACCAAGCCCAGCTTGGGGGAAGGGGAAACTGACTCCACCTCATGGGGGAGCTATGGGGATTGGTGGAACTCATTTCATCTGTCTCACTCTTGTGTGCACCACCTTAATGGCTTCACGCCAGTACTCCCTCTTCCCGCCACTTCCTTGGTTCCCTTTACCCCACCTTGACTGACTGTCCAGGATGACAGGGTGAAGTCTCATCTCAAGGTGGCTCACCAAGGGCTTGCTGCATTTCTTTGCTAATGACACACCCTCCCTCTCACACTCAGAGAAAGTACGTGGCGCGACTGGAGGACCTCCGCAAGGCTCTGGAGAACTCTCCCTTCTTCAAGACCCACGAGGTGCGAGCCCTGGGTGCCATAGGTGTATGTGACCTCCAGTTTAGGGGATTCAGGCAGGGAGGAGTGGGAGCATGGATTCAAGCCAGGCGGTCTGGGGATGAGGCTGACTCTTCTGTGTAACTTTGGTCTCTCCTCAGACTCTATTTCCAGGGCTGGGAGTCAAAACCAGGGTTTCTCAATCACTGCGCTGAGCATATCCCCCGTCCTTGCTTTCTTTCCTTTGGGAGAGTGGCATGGTCTTTTGAGACACAGTCTCATGTAGCCCAGAGTGGCCTCCTAGTCCCAATCTCCCTGTCCTAGCCTCCCACATGCAGGGATTACAGGGAAGAGCACCACTCCCAGCCTTCCACGCAGACAGTCTCATGTGTCGACACAGCCGGGGTGATGATCCCCACTCCTAGGACTGCTGAGGGTTGCGAGTCACTGGGAAGCAACATTCAAGATCTGTACTCAGGGTTCTTAGAAGCGGAAGCAGTGTGTGACTTAATGGTGTGTCTCTAGGTGCCTCCCTTGACATGCGGTTCTTGCCTTTTCTTTCTGCTCCTAGCCTTTCTCTTAGCATTGCTCTTTCCATGATTTTCTTTATTTGTGGGAGGACAGAGGACACGTGATGGTCTGTTTTCTCCTTCTAGCGTGTGGGTCCTGGAGAGCAAACTCAGGTCACCAGACTTGGCAGCTCGTGTCCTACCCACTGTGCCATCATGCCAGACCTGAGGGTGTCTTTTTTTTTTTTTTTTTTTTTTTTGTGGGTTTCACATAACTCAGGTTGGCCTCAAGCTTGCTGTGCTGCCTAGGGCAGCCTAGAACTCCCGATCCTGTTGCCTCAGCCTTCACAAGTGCTAGGATTGTAGTTGTCTGCCACTATGCGTGGTGTCACCCTGTGTCTCTCAGGCAGCTTGGATGATCAGCAGCTGTTTGCTAGTCAGAGAAGTGATGGCACCTCCTTCTTTCCCCCAGGCTCTTCCTCTGCCCCTCAGCCCTTTCCCCCCTTCTCTGACTTTTCTAGAAAGCCCTGAGCTGGAAGTCATGCCTGTACAAGTCTCGGTCCCAGCTCTGCCTCTCCTTAGCCTCCTAAGCCCGAGCAGCCACTCCGGGAGGCTCCTGGAGTGTGAGTGACAGCGGCAGCCATGTGGACACTGATGAAGGTTAAGTAGGTTAGAGCCCAGCCCATGGTAAACCATCATGAGTGCCAGCTGTCATCATCATGTTTGTTTTGATCAAATGTCCCTGTTACTATCTTCAGGCTTCATGTGGAAGTCGAGGCCTCTCCTCTCCTTCTGTTTGGTTTTGATGGCCTAGTGTCTTGCCTCCATCTGAAATATGAAATTTCACATAGAAATTGGCATTTCTAGTTTCCCTAAGACATAGCAGTCCTAGATGCTTGCCAGTATCTACATGCAGCAGTATCCAGGCCTGAGTGGTGTCTGCCTCTTTTCTGTTTGGTGCTGGGGATTTGAACCCAGGATCTCATGTCTGCCAGGCAAGTGCTCTACCACTGAGCTACATTCCAGCCTCACACCCTCCACTATTTTATTGAGATGGGTTTATATAGCCCCGGCTGGCCTGGAATTCGATGTGTAGCTGAGGATGGCCTGGACTCTTGATCCTTCTGCCTCCACCTCCTGAGTGTGGGGTTGTGGATGTGTGTCACCATGCTTAGGGGCAGACATGCTACCAACTGAAATATAGCCCCACACTCATTGTGTAGACTAGGTTAGCCTCTTTAAGGTCTTATTTTGAGACAGTTCTTACGTTGCCCAGGTTACCCTTGAGCTCACTCTGATCGAGGCTATAGGCCTTGAATATTTTCTGTCCTCCTGCCTCAGCTTCCCAAGTAGCTAAGACTAAGGCCTGTAATCATGAGGCCTGGCAGCATCTGACTCTCCAGACAGGCTCCTGTTCACCTGGCCAGGAACTGAGGTCTGGGAGCAGGGCAGTGTTGAAACCTGCTGTAAGACAGATGGAGGTGCGGGGGCCTTGTGAAACCTACATTAGATGAAGGGAAGGCAGCAGCTGTTTGTTTGTTTGTTTATAAGAAAGCGTAACTTTAGGCACATGCCTTTAGTCCCAGTACTTGGGAGGCAGAGGCAGGTGGATATCTGTGAGTTCAAGGCCAGCCTGGGCTACAGAGCAAGTTCCAGGACAGGCATCAACACTACACAGAGAAATCCTGTCTCAAAAAACAAAACAAAAAAGCATAACTCCCTGTTGACTTTGGAGTATGTGAATGTCGGATGGGGTGTGTATGTGCCATGGCACTCTTGTGGAGTCATTTCCCTCTTCTGCCGTGCGGGCCCAGGACTTGAGCTTAGGTCATCAGGTTTGTTTTGAGCCATCTCACCGGGCCATTTGGTTTTGAGGTAGAGTTCTACTTTGTAGCCTAGGCTGGCCTTGAGCTCGTAGACTTGAGCTTGTCTCTGCCTTCTGAGTGTTGGAATTAAAGGTGTGTGTTGTGTCACCATGACTGTTTAGTGTCTTTTTTGAGACAACTTTTTATTACTCTGGAGCTTTGGCAGCCTGGGGCTTACTACCTAGCCGGGGTTAACCTCAGATTTGTGGCTGTCCTTCTGCATCTGCCTTACAAATGCTTGGATTGTGGACATGTGTCACCACACCTGCTCAGCAGTGACTGTATCTAAGACAAGTAAATCCAAGCACCACTAACAACCCCCACCGAGGTGTGCACAGCCCCCACCGAGGTGTGCACAGCCCCCACTGAGGTGTGCACAGCCCCACCAGGTGTATTTCAAGGCAGACACTGGGAGGCACTTTCTGAGCCTGTGGGTTGTAAGGTGCTATGTGACCCCAGGAAGTAGTGTTACCAACTTCCCCATTCTACAGACAGGACACCAAAGCCAAAGGAAGGAAGCCACTTGCCTAACGTCATCAGCCACAGCCCACTGGGCATAATAAGCCACTGCCCTATTCTGGAGAAAGTTTTCCCTCTCTCTCTTCTATCTGATCTGAGTTCTCTGACCCAGTCACAACCCTGATACCATTTGAGTTTGTGCTGTGGCTTAAAAAATGATGACAGCAAATAGCCCAGAGTGCTGGTTCACACTGTTCTAGCACCCGGGAAGAGGAAGCAGTCGGGCTGGGAGTTCATGCCAGCACAGGGGGGAGGTGGAGGCAGGAGGATCTCAAGTTAAGGGGATTCTTGGCTGTATAGATAGCTGACGGCCATCTGGGACTATTTAAGACCCTATCAGACAAACAAAAAATGAGAGATAGAAAACGGAGGCAATGGGCTGGGGTGTAACTTAGCTGTGAACTCCTGCTTAGCTTGTTGGAAGCTCTGGGCCATCCCAGAATACACACACACATGATAACTTGTAACATTTATTGTGTATTTGTTGTGTTCTAGGAACTATTTGAAATGCCTTGAGTGTGTAAATTATACTGTTATTCTGTTTGCATCTGTGGAAGCAGAGCCACAGAGAGGGTAAAATGCTTGCCTAAGGCTACATAGCCTAGAAGTAGCAGAGTCAGGATCTGAACATGGGCAGCCTGATTCCTGAGTGTCTGCTTTACTGCTCATTGGGGAGTAGACTGGTGGTGCCTGCTCCTCTAACCTCTTCTATCTCACTATTACAGGTGGTGGGCAGCTCCCTTCTCTTTGTGCAAGACCACACTGGCCTGGCCAAGGTCTGGATGATTGACTTCGGCAAGACAGTGACCCTGCCTGACCACCAAACGCTCAGTCACAGGCTGCCCTGGGCCGAGGGCAACCGTGAGGATGGCTACCTCTGGGGTTTGGACAATTTGATCCACCTCCTTCAGGGGCTGGCCCAGAGCTGATCTCATCTGCTGCTGCTAGGCTCACTTGCAAGATAGCATGTGTCTGGCTGGAGGAGCCCTAAGATATTGTCGGGCTTGAGGCTGCTGATGGAAGATGAGGTACTTCAAGGTGTCACCAGATCAGTGTGGTCTCAGCTTTGGGGGACCTGGAAACACTGGGCTCCCTTATAAGTGGGGAACAAGACAGGTAGAGGCATAGAAAGAATTAGCAGAACATGAATGGCGTATCCTGATCAGCTAGGAAGCTTCCAGGGGAGTACCAGGGGCCATGGCTAGAACCACGAACCCTCCCTGAGCTGGCTTTCTGAGCGCAGAGCCTCAACAGGTTAGCTTCTGCTCCCCAGAGGATCAGGCATATTTGTGAAGACCTGCAGGAGCTACTTCCACCTAGGGCAGTGACAGCCTCACCTGGATGTAATTCAAGTGCTGAGAGGAGGGTGTGACATGGGACACCTGCTGATGCTGCCCTAGGCCTGATGCTACAGTGTGGGAACACAGCTCATCCTCCTCCGTGCTGAGGCCTGGAAGGATCCCTTGTTCCTCTGTGGACTCTTCAGGCTGCTGCAGAGCCAGACCACAACCACGTCCACCTGTGCCAGCACTGTAACCGTCTTCCTTCCTTGGTGCACTAGCTCTGGCCTCAGGGCCTCTTCCTTCTGCCCAGACCCCGGGGCTCTCCAGTGAGGCAGGGGAGGAGGTTTCTCCTTGGGAACTAGAGCTGCCTTGCTTCACTGTGTAAGTGTCCCTACCCACACACAGAATGAACTGCCAGGTTGCCCAGAAGCACAAGTGAGTGGGGCTTCTGGCCCTTGCCATGGGCTACCTGGTTCTAACCAAAGACTGGAGTACTCTGGAACGGGGCAGAAGCCACTCTGTCTCTGTGATGCAGCACCTCTCCAGAACCTTGGCTTCTTGGCCCACACAGATGGGCTTGGTGAGGACAGGAACCTACCTACCTCTTCCCTAAGGCCTAACGTCTTCCAGGGCCAACATGTCTTCCTTTTCTACTGACTTTATATATATTTATAAACGAGATAGTTAGCTGGGGTGGTGTCAGTGAATCCAGGCAAAATGACTTTATTGGTCCTCCCGCCCACAATGGCACCCCAATAAACAGGACAAAGTCAATGCTGTGGAATTTTCTTGGCATCTGGGTATGTGGACTCAAATTCATATTCTTGGGCCTTCATGCTGGGGTGGGATAATGGGGTAGTGGTTACCTTGGGAGAGGAAGGCTGAGGAGGTCGCTCACTCATTTAAGACCCCAAAATGCCATTAATTTTTTTAGATTAAAAAAAAAACAAGATTTATCTTGTTATCCGGGCAGTGATAGTGTGCACATTAATCATAGCACTCGGGAGGCAGAGGCAGGTGGATCTCTGAGTTCAAGGCCAGCCTGGTCTACAGAGTAAATTCCAGGACAGCCAGGGATACACAGAGAAACCCTGTCTTGAAAACACACACACACACACATCTTTAAAGAAAAAAAGATTGGTATTTGTATGTGTGTATATGTTAACTATTTGTGTTCAGGCACCTAAGGAGGCCAGAAAAAGCTCCTGGACCCCCTGCCCCCAGGAGTTGGAGCTACAGGTGGTTTGGAGCTGTCTAATATGGGTTCTGGGATCCAAACTTGGGTCCTCTGTGAGAGCAGCAAGTAGTCTTAATTGCTGAGCCACCTTTCCAGCCCCTTTTCTAATTTTGAGACAGGGTCTCACTGTAGCTCAGGTTGGTCTGGAATGTGAGGTCCTCCCATTTGGCCTCCAGACTGCTGGAATTATAGGCATGGGCCTCCACACCCAGCTTCTTTTATTTTTTGTTTTGAGACAGGGGCTTGTTCTGTAGCCCAAAACTGTTTGGTACTCACAGTGTAGCCCAGGCTTGCTTCAAACTTACCTTGACCCGCCTGACTCAGCCTCTAGAGTACTGAGATGGTGTGTGCCACCATGCCTAGCCGGTATTGCTAGTCTCTTGGGCCTGGCTCTGTGCTAGTTACAGGGCTCCCAGTGCCAACCAAATATCAGGTCAGGATTCAGACTGCTGCGCACCCCACTCGCTGGTGACTACATACTGTACCATACGCCTCCCCTAAAGTGTGATCTTTTGCTGGGAGCATCGCAGCACCCCAGACTTGTTCCTCCCCTCCTGAGTGGGTGTACCAGGTGCCAATTACTTTCTTTATAGTTGGTTCGTTAGGACAGATAAAGTAGGAGGCACACACAGCTGCTTCCTATGTGATTTAAGAGTCACAGTTCAAGCTAGCCTTGAACTTGTCACTTAGCAATGATGAGCCTGAACTGGTTCTCTGGTCTCTACCTTCCAAATGCTGGGATCATAGGCCTACACCACTATCCCAGCCTTGGGCAGGATGTGGCATATGCAAGGCTAACCTGGACTGCATAACATAACAAGACCTGTCTTTCAAAACAAACAGGCTGGAGAGATGGCTCAGAGATGAAGAGCGCTGGCTGCTCTTCCAGAGGTCCTGAGTTCAATTCCCAGCAACCACATGGCTCAAAACCCATATATAATGAGATCTGGTGCCCTCTTCTGGCCTGTAGACATATATGCAGGCACCATGTACAACACTATCCACAATACACTATGGATAACACTATCCATAATAAATAAATCTTTAACAAAAATCTACATCATATTCCTCTTCCTCTCTTATCCTACGTGGAAGGAGAGGGGTCCTGGGGACTCTGAAGAGGAAATGATATTGGAGCCAAGATGGAAAAGTTAGGGGAAATAAGCTTTTAAAAACTTTTATTCTATTTGAATTTGTGTTGAGTGCACAGCAACCAAGTGGAGGTGAGGTAACAACCTGTGGAAATCACTCCTTCCACTACATGGGTCCCTGGGTCATCAGGCTTGGCACCACCTTTGCCCATTAGCCATCTTACCAGCTCAGGGCTGGTGTTGGTGCCTACAGTCTTGGTATCTGAACGCCACCATGGCTGTCAGGCAGGTGAGTGATAGTCTGGGTAAGCCAAGAAGGGAGTTGGGTTAATTTCTGTTCTGTGAGTAAACGTGGAGATGGGGGTCAGGTTAACAGGGTCCAGGCTTTTGTAGATGTTCAGTGAACTGACAGTGTCTTAAAAGATGCCCTCAAAGGGCCAGGTGGTGGTGGTGCACGCCTTTATCCCAGCACTCAGGAGGCAGAGGCAAGTGGATCTCTGTGAGTTTGAGGCCAGCCTGGTCTACAAATTGTTCCACAACAGCTAGAGATACACAGAGAAACCCTTTCTCGAAAAACAAAACAAAACAAAAACCCAAAAAAGTCTCCCTTAACCAAAGGCATGCTTAATCCTGCAAGTGATGAATTTAGACTTTGGACAGTGGTCAAGCTTGTGACGCCATAGATGGGGTGACTGTGTGAGAGATTTCTAGCAGAAGGCAGAAGGCCCTCAAGATACAGGCTGGACTATAGAAGTCACACAGGGGATGAAGCTGGGGCACTGTAATGGTGATGGAGGGCACTTCAAGGCAGGTGCCCCAGCTAATGGCTCTACTCCTGTGGTCTAAGCAGCAGGACCTGGCCACAGAGGCCAGCCTGTACCCCACCAGCAGGTACCACGTACACCCTTCCATCAGCAGCCCTGGCAGGAGAGAAGTCTGTCAGCTGCAGGTTGCTATCCCGGACTTGGTTGTAGTCCCACAGCTGGTAATGCCAACTCTTGCCCTGCTTGGAGAGAAGGAAGATGGCACCTGGAGAGCTCTCCTCTGGGAGGGATGGTGATTGGTAGGGTGTGCCAGGCACTGGGTGGAAAAGGCCTGGCAACTCAGAGTCTTCCGTGTAGCCAAATATCGGTACACTCTGCACACCTATCAGGACCCCTGGGGGACAAGAAGAGGATGTAAGTTGCCTGGGTTACAGCTAGGTGCCAGGGCTCCTGCATCCCATAACCCTCCAGGCCAGGTGCTGCCTTACTGCCACAAGGTTAGGACTGTGGGTACACAGCAGGGTCTCTTGCAGCACACTGAAGGTGGGGGACAGCGTTGAAATGAAGACCCCAACATTTCCAGCTGCCCCAGAAAGACTCCCACATAGAGCCAGACACACTTCTAGAGGCCAGGCAGGTGATGTACACAAATCTGTCCTTCTCCCAGGCCGGCAGGCAGGATGCTAAGGATGGTGCTGGTGACAGACATGCAGTGTCACCGTGTTCTACTGGTGTCACATGCCCATGCAGCCTGAAGAGCAGGGAGGCAGTGCTGCCCCTATTACTCTCCGTATGTACACCATCCCGTTTCGGGTGCTATTTTGGGAGCTGGGGGACCCTTCAGCAGGTGGGACCTTACTGGAGGAAGTGGGTCACTGGGGTGGGGCTGAATTGCAAGTGCAGGGTTATAGTCCAACTTCCATTTCTGGGTGGAGCTCTCTGCTTCCTGGTCAAGCAGGAACAAGCTGTTCTTGTTCCTGGATCCTCCGTGACTAGCAGAGCCATCAGCTGCCCTGCCTTCCTTTCCATGAAGCATTCCCTGACCATGAGCCACAGAAACCTCTCAAAGTGCTTCTGTGAGGAAACATAGCACCCCTCCCCCACCCCCTCAATTTCCAGGTGGGCAATAGGCCTGGAGGGGTGAAGAAACTTAGGCAGAACTACGGAGCCTAAAGAGCCTGGGCTGCACCTCGAGCCCCTTTCCCCCCTAGTCTGTGCTCTGGGCCTGTTCGAGGGAACTCTAACTGGTAGACACTTGAGGGACCTCATACCTACTGGGCTATCTGCTAAGTACTGCATGGGAAAGAGGGTGGCCAAGCTCTTGTTCACACAGCAATGCATGGCAGGCACCTTCAGTGGTGATGCAAATATGAACAGGGGTTACTAGTGGGTGAAGAGGTCTAGGGAGTGGCATACACGGGCAAAGGTGGGGTGGACCCACCTGCGCTCACTGCCCAGTGGGCTTTATGGCCTTTCTTTTGGCACGGTTCATGGTTGAAATCCTCATCATAGCTGGAGCTGGTGTTAAGGTCCAAAATGTGATGTGGAATTGGATCCTACCCTCCACCACCCCTGCCCTGCTCCCTCCCAGGTCCTAGGATGCGGGATGAGCAAGGGATGTCCAGTGATGAGGTGCTGCAGGACCCGATCTCTGTTGGGACCACCCAGGCCACCACAGAGGAGCTCAGTCTGGCAGTCCAAGGTCTCCTGGGCCAGTTTGGCCATATCAGCCACTGCAGTGGGGGGGGGGTACATGGAGGGGGAGGAAGAGGGAGGGAAAGAGAGCAGGAGAAAGTATAGATTAAATAAATAAATGAATGAATGAGAATCATTTCAAAAAGGCTTATCATTTGTGTAACTTCAGAAAATGAGGCACAAATTGGGCCTGATGGCATGGACCTGTAATCCCAGCTATTTCAGAGGCTGAGTTAGGAGGATCAGATGTTCAAACCCTGCCTGGGCCACCCAGTGAGTTCAAGACCAGGCTGAGCAATTTAGTGAACCTATGTCTCAAAAGAAAAAAAAATGGCTGGAAATAGAGCTCAGTGGTAGAGCTCCCACCTAGAATCCCGCAATGAGGGGCTGGGGGAGTGTCTCAGTGGTAGAGGCCTTGCCTAGAATCTCCCAGTGAGGGGCTGGGGATGTGGCTCAGTGATAGAGCCCCTACCTAGAATCCCCCAGTGAGGGGCTGGGGGTGTGGCTCAGTGGTAGAGCACCTGCCTAGAAACCCCCAGTGAGGGGCTGAGGGCGTGGCTCAGCAGTAGAGTACCTGCCTTACACCCCTATGTTCAATTCCCAGTACTACAAAAAAAAAACCCAAAAAACCAAGTGAGGCACAAAGGGTCAGTTGTTTAACCACTTGGCCATAAAGATGGTTTGACTTCTCCTGGTACCACCTTTGGTCTACTACTGCAAGGGGGTAGGCCAGAAGGGAATGAGACCTCCTCATGCACCTTCAGTGTCTCAGCTGGCCTAGAGAGAGGAGCCAGTGGAACTTAGGGCTTGAGGTATTTCCCAGCCAACTTACCAGAGAACATCTCTCCCTGTGCCGTGTAGCCTCTCTCCATGGCTACCTGCACCAGTCTTTCCAGAGAGACACTGTCAGTGTCCGGGGTTGACAGAAGAGTGCCTGCCATCCACAAGGCCACCAGTCCACACCTGGGAGAGACAGCCCACTCTAGCACATGCTGTATCTTTACTGAACTCCCCTGACCTCAGAAGGGGGAGGGGTGTGAGGTCTAGGGGACCTGTCTCCTCTCCCATGCCAGGTACGGTAATAGGCTGGAAGGTGGGGACAAACCTGGGTTTAAGGAGACGGGACACTTCATCTGTGCACTCATTGGGGTTCATTCAGCTACTAATTTAGATGGTCCTTCTGTTTCACTCACACACACATGGACAGACAGACAGACAGACAGACAGACACACACGGATCATGATGAGGAAAAGGCCCTGCTTTCTCTCCCTCCTCCCTAGGATGCCCAGGGCAGAGTACTGGTCCCACAGTGCCCAGTCTAGCCTTAGAAAACTGGCAGGACCCTCTCACGTCAGAGCAGTGGGTACTTACTGAGGGCCTTCTTGGATGAGCGACGGTAGGTCGGCACAAAAGAGGATCCATTGCAAGTCATTTCGAAACCTGAAGCAGAACAATAAGTCACAGGGAATGGCTCTCAGATCACCCCTGGAGAAGGACTAAGGCCTCAGGGCTACTCCCCTGCTGCGGCAGTAAGACCCCACACCCAAAGCCTCAGTTTTCTCTTCTGGGAATCATTACTTTGCCTTTTTCCTGCTGCTTCTCACAGGGCTTGAAAGGCAGAGCAGATGCAGAACCTAAACAACCATGAGTCACAAAGATTTCTCTAAGAAAAATTTTAGAAGGTGGTATGTTTTGTACCCAAATGCTAAGATTTTTATTTTCTTTTTTTGTAGACATTATCTTCAAATGTATCCCAGGTTAGCCTCCAACCAATGGCAATGTTCTTGCCTTAGTTTCCCCAATGCTGGGATTAAAGGCGTGCTACCAGAGCCAGCGTCTGATTATTCTCTCTACCAGGTCTGAGGTGTGTGTGTGGGGAGGGGGCAGATGGGAGGCTAGTTTGAGGGCTCAGCGGATAAAGGCACCTGCTGCTAACCCTGACAACTTCAGTTCAAGTCCCAGGCCCCACATGTTGGAAGAAATGACTCATGCAGTGTTTTCTGACCTCACTCACACCAAAACTGTAGCATACATATACCACACAACAAATAGATTAATTCAGTCTTGCATAAAACCAGATGACAATATGCTTAAGGCCCAAGAGAGCACCTCAGATGAAGCTGAGCAGGGCTGACCAGGGAATCTCAGTCCCTTGAGGCCCAGGGCCAGCAGGAGGGCAAAGCCAGGGGTGGTGATGGGGATGCTCACACCCATGATAAATACACAAAGCTCCAGGTTCTTAGTTTGAGGTAACTCCTGACCACAGCAGGATGGTTAGAAGCACCAAATCCCCTACTGGAATTCAAATGGAGATCTCTCTCCTTCTTTGAACTGTGGCTAAGTGACTGCCCCTAAGAGCTTCAGCTTTCTTTCATTTTACATTTCCTTTGACTTAGGTATATAAGAGTGAATGTCACTTGTGTGGGTACCTGGGATCCAGAAGAGGTGCTGGGTCCTCTAGGTCTAGAGTTATGGCTATATCACACCATGTGGGTGCTGGGAACTGAGATCCTCTGCAAGAGCAGCCAGTGCTCTTAACCACTGAGTCATCTCTCCAGCCCTCTAAGAGTCTTGGCTTTCTCATCCAGAAAACAGGAAAGAAACAGTTCCTAATTCATGAGGTTGCTGAGAGCAACACATCTTTAAAACTCAGCCAGCCATGGGGATCCATGCTTGTAATGACAGCCTTTGAGAGCAGAGCAGGACTGCCAGCCTGGGCAACACAGTAAGTTCCAGGACAGCCAGGGGTACACAGAGAGACCTGGTTTCAAACTACCACCAGCACTAAACAGCTGGTGAAGGTAATATACATCTGTCATCTCCTGAGGTGGAGGAAGAAGGAACAGGTGTTCTCAGCTACACCGACTTTGAGGTCAGCCTGGGCTACATGGGACCCTATCTAAAACACATACAAACTCCCCAAACCCAACTAGTAATAGCCCAAGAAACAATGTAAAGAAATCTTTTGTTGTTTTTGTTTTGTTTTTAAGATAGGGTTTCACTGTTTAGTTCTGGCTGTCAGAACTCACTATGTAGACTAGGCTGGCCTTGAACTCATTAAGAGCTACATGCCTCTGTCTCCTGAGTGCTGGGATTAAAGGCATACATTACCAACGCCAGATTAAAAAAGATCCGTTTAATCTGATATTGATTACACTTGGTCAAAAGTGTCACCTCAGTTCCCTAACACCCCTTCCTTTATATAAAAAGTCTGGATTGCTTGGCTGGGTGCACCCCAGCTCCTGGCATAAGGTCCCTCCCCTGGGAGTTGCCTTGGTCCAAACTCCACCTCTGAGAAAGCCCCTCCCCAGGGAGGGACAAGAAGGCCCGACAAAGGGTAATTCCTCCCCAAGGAAGGTCAAGACTCTTTAATTTAAACTGCCCCCCCCCCCCCAGAGAATGAACAAGTGGTCTTCTCTTATCTCTCTTCCCCTCTCCACGTTTTCCCGGGGCCACCTGGGAGCACTCCATTAAACATGGGCATCTCTTAATTTGGTTTGATTTGGTCTGTTGGGATTATTTGCTTTGGTGGAGAGGTTTGTCTTAAGAAGAAAATATTTAATAATGTGGTGACAGGCTGTCTGCATCCAATTTGCATAATGGTGGTTGGGCACTTGGTGTGCCTTTTAAGTATGGTTGGGAGTTTAAGAATTCCCCTTTTCTTCCCTCCCTTCCTCCTTTCCTTCCAACACAAGGTCTCACTATGTAGCTCAGTCTGGCCTGGAACTCAGCTGCTCAGTTTCCTGACCACTGGGATTATAGGCTCGTGCCCCTATGTCAGGCACTGGGGAGTTTCTTTATCAATTTGGAGAGGGGCCTGTAGTGTCTTCTTTATCCTCTTCCCTTACTGCTTGTGTCCTGGGGTGCATCACTTTCTTCCTGGGACTTTGGACTCCATTCATGACCTCTAGTCCCTCTTAACTCTAGTTCTTTTCTGGGCAACGCCTTTTTGTCACTAGTCAGAGACTCATCCAGCCGGCCACACTGCTGCTCACCTACTTTCCCAGCTCTTGTGTTCTTAGAGAACACGTATGTTTTTATTATAGACCTGCGCCTATGCTGTCTGCTCTCAAGGGACAGGCCTCCATAACTTGCTCCCTAGCATCTGTAGCTGCCTGTCTTTCAGAAGCCACCACTGAGTCACACACTCCCTTTGGACCCAGTTATCACAACCCTGGCTGCTCTGGGAGCCACTATGTGGAGGGACAGAGCATGTGCAGGAGTCGCTTTCTCTGATGCTGGAGGCCAATCACTGAAGAGCTAGGTAGGGGACTTAAGACATAGGGCTGTTTGAGATCAAGAAAATGGGAAACCCCGAGGAGTGGCTGAAGTGATCTGGAGACAGGGGGCTGAATGAGACTTGGCGTGGTGTTAGGAGTTTGGAGACCCTACCGGTCTTTGTGCAGCTTCAGGAGCTTCTTCACATCTTCTCTGCCTTTGGGGACTGGGCCAGCCTTCTCCAAGGCCTCCTTCAGCAGCCGGCTCTTCTCCAAGCCGTAGACATGAGGGGGAGCAACCTCCACAGTAGAGGGTGGAGGAGGCGGTGGGGGTGGGGGTGGAACTGAAGCCTGGAGACTACAGGGAGGGGATGGCAAAGCTAAGTCCAGAGGATCTGGGGGTAAAGGAGGTGGAATATTGGGGTCTTGGGTTACTGGGGGGATTGTGGGTTTTAGGGGGACAGAGCATGGAGAAGTCATGTGGGGTCTTCAGGACGAGCCGATGTGAGAACGAGAAAGGATCCTCCCAAATCTCAAGGATAGAGTTTCAGTTTTTAGAGCAACTGGATGTGGCGTTCAGGCCCGCACATAGAAATCTGTATTAAAAAATTAAAAATTAGAGTTGAATTGCAGAATATGGCGCCTAATTAGTCTGTCTGGAAGAACCTGGGTTAGTGTTTGAAACGGTGGAAAAAGAAACTGGGCTAAGGCAGATGAAGGCTCCAGAAGGGTGGGCTGTGCTATGGGGAAGGGACTTACATTAGGTGGGAACTTCTGCCATCTCATCCCCCTGGAGCTAGCTAGTTTCGGTCACTTCCGTAATGAGGATGCTCAGATCCGGGATGAGGTTGGGGTGACTTGCCTCATCTTACATCCCTGGCTCGAATTTGGAACGATAAGGTTGCCCGTAGGAGCTAGGTCAAGAGATCACGTGGCTGGGAAAACAGCCTAGTGGTGGTGGCAGGGTCCTGGAATCAGTCGGGAAGTAAGAGAGTAGCGGCGGCTCAGCGATCAAGAGCCGACTAAGGAACGGAACTTAGGAACCGGAACTTAGGAACTTAGGAACTTAGGAACTGCTCGCTTCCCACCGGGAGCAAACGGCTTGACCCTACCAGACTCAAGGCCACTGGCTGGCGGAAGGGGAAGAGGTGTGGCTTCCGAAAGGCAGTCTGGAAGGCACGAGAGCCCTAGTAATGTCCCGATTGGCCAAGAGCTCGTAGCTTTCTTCGATTGGTCTGGTCACTCTGGGGAAGGGGGCGGGGATTATCACTAAGGCGGGAACCCAAGTGTTCCTTTCATTGCCAGGCGCGGCGGCTCAGGTGGTGAGTTCTCGCGGGTGTAGACGCCGCTTAGCGTTGGGGAGGCGGGTGGAGCACTTGGCGTTATTTCGGGAGGCCTCTCTTTGAGAGACTAGGATATCTAAAATCGGTCCCAACTTTCTTAACTGGCTCCGACATCCGGGTTCTTTTTTTCCTCCCGGGGCGCCGTTCGTGCGCGTGGACTAATTGGAATCGCCGTTTGGTACGCTCCGCCTGCCGGGACTCGTAGGGCATTCTGGGATTCGTAGTTACCTTCTAGATTCCCCTAGCACGCGGGCTGGAGAAGCGGAGTCCTACGCTGGCTTTGTTGCCAAGCTGTGCCCTTATTCCCCCCATTCCGAGCTTACCCAGTTTACTCTTGGAAGGATCCCAGAGCCCTGATCAGAGCCCATTAGGCCTTAGAACCAAGAATTTTGGGAAACGTAGGGCTGAAGTCGCCTCTTTTTCTCCCTTTAAGCCGTGAGCATCTCACACCATGGCAGTTCCTGAGACCCGTCCCAACCACACTATTTATATCAACAATCTCAATGAGAAGATCAAGAAGGATGGTAAGTTCTCGGGATAGCCTGGACTCTCTGGGTGATCTCACGTGAGCTGACCCCTTCTACCTCTAGCACCCGCTTTTTCTCAGCCTTCCCCATTCAGTCTGTTAAGAGTTAACTTTGGCCTTTGTACGTACCGAGCCCTTGGTTTTCAACACGCGCTTAACCATTTTGCATTCTGCTCTTTAACCTGTGCGCCTTGTTGATAATCTTCAAGGTTTTAGCTCACCGGCCCCTTCTTTTTGTGAAGCCTTTTGGAATCTTTCTCTTCTTCATCAAGCCCAGCTCAGTCTGCTATCATTGATGTGCCCAAATCCACGAAGTCCCCCAAAAGCCCACAAGGAGACCGAGTCCCGTATGTAAAAGCAAGTTTGCAAACTCGGTCTCTCCGCATGTCCAACGTATTGGAATAAACGGAGAGCCCTGAGCTCAGTTAGAGTTGGGATTTTATAGTAGTAAAGGTAGGGGTGAGGGGTTTCTGAGGTTCAGGACCCCTGATTGGCTGACATTTGTCTAGGGGTGTCCTGGTGAGTGTGTGCTGGCAGGTGATCCTATCTACAGCGGTTGGAAAGTAAGGCGTTTCCTTTGAATGGTCTGTTCTTGGGTGGTGCTCAGGTAATCTTAGTTTATGGTCCTTTCTGCAACCAGGTATTGCTTCAGGGTAAACTACTGAGACTTCATTCCTCCCTTAAACTTATTGAGGGTTGAGTTCTACTCTGGCAGGTGATAATGGTTGGAATTAAAGAACTTCCTTTGGGTGATCTGTTCATATTTAGCTTATCATGGCTGGATCCTACATCATGAGACTGTCTCTGTGGACCTCTGGGCATTGGTCCTCGTGATTGACTATAATGCAAATAGCATCCAGAAGTGATGAGATACGCACATAACGCTGTGTAACATGGGGGATGTGTGCAGGAGTCTATAGTCTTGGATATATTTAATTCTCACAAGCCTCTTAGGTGAAGAAATCGGAGCTTGGGTGGCATAACTTGCCTGAGATCAAATAGCAAAAAAAAAAAAAAAAAGGTTGTGATACAAGTGTGGGACTCTGGTTATGCAGATTCTTGGACTGATGTGGATGGCAGAAGGCTGTAGTTCAGTTACTCAGGGAAAGCTGAAGTGAAGCCAGTTTGGACTACCTGATCAGCACAAGGGGCAAAAAAGAGACCAAAGACAATCTCTTTGGGTGTGAAGGTGCAGGCAGGTAATCCCAGTCCTCAGGAGACTGAGGCAGGAGGATCTTGAGTTCCAGACCAGCCTAGGATACATACAAAACCTTGTCTCCAAAACTGCAAATAGTGTTAGTCTTGCCTGATATGAGTCAGGATGAGTAAGGCTCTGGGTTTGAACCTCAGCAGCTAAGAAACCTACTTATCCTGGAGAGATGGCTCAGTGATTAAGAGCACTGGCTGTTCTTCCAGAAGACCTGGGTTCAATTCCCAGTACCCAGATGGCAGCTCACAACTGTCTATAACTTCTGTTCCCAGGGATAGGACACCCTCACACAGATACAGGAGCAGGCAAACTCTATGAATGTTGACACACGTGTTTGATCAGGACAGCTCTAGGGAGGCTGTTCTCTTAACTCTGTGGTTCCTGAGGCCATACTCGGTCATGAGGCTTGTGAAGCAGAGGTTCTACCACCTCTACACTGGCCCCCTTTTGCATATAATTTTTTGGAAATAGTATTCTGAAAGATAGTTCGGCTGGTAAGCATGCTTGGTGCTTAGCCTGACCTTCCCAGGTCCCACACTAGGAGGTGAGTACCCTCTGACTTCCATGTGTGTGCCGTGTGAGCTTGCTGGGCCTGCGGTCAGGTTGCCCAAAGTTGGGGTAGTCCTTGTGGAAGAAGAGTTCTGGGCGTTTGAAGGCTGAGGCAGGAGACTCAGTTCCTGGGGACTCAGTGGTGGGAGGAGAGTTGACTCCCCAGAGTTATCCTGTCATTGTCTCCTCTCTACCCCTCATCTCCCCAACCCCTCACCACACACAACATAAATGTCCCCTAGCCTAGAGCAGGTATCCTAAGGATGCTGAGAAGGACTTGGCCAAGCCAGGACCACAATTCAATTCCCATCTGAATCCAGCACCACCAAACTCACCAAACTGCTTTACACTGTAGCAAACAGTAATCAAAGCAGAACAGAGCTGTCCATGTCTTGTAAGGTTATGTAAACATGAGTTTCACTGGAGTGGTTCTTGGCTGTTTCTGTTGTTGTGGGTTGGTTGGGTTTTTTTTTTTTTAAGCTTTTTCTTTTTGGCTTTTTCAAGACAGGGTTTCTTTGTGTGGCTCTAACAGTCCTGGAATTTGCTCTGTAGACCAGGCTGGCGTTGAATTTACAGAGATCCATTTGCCTCTGCCTCCTGAGTGCTGGGATTAAAGGCCTGTGTCATCACTACCTGGCTGTTTGGGTTCTTGAGCTATGGTATTCTGAGTATTCTGTCAGTTGGCAGGTGGCCCCTTATTTGGGCTGTCCATCCTCTAAGGATAGAGCAAATCCCAGGACACAGTGCCAGGCCTTTTGTCACAGTGTGTCTTGTCTTCCTTGAATGCAGAGCTCAAGAAGTCCCTGTATGCCATCTTCTCCCAGTTTGGCCAGATCCTGGATATTCTGGTGTCTCGGAGCCTGAAGATGAGGGGCCAGGCCTTTGTCATCTTCAAGGAGGTCAGCAGCGCCACTAATGCCCTGCGTTCCATGCAGGGGTTCCCCTTCTACGACAAGCCCATGGTGAGCATCTTGAATATGGAGGTTGTGTGTGTGTGTGTGCTATAGGACCCAAGGTGGGGGTGGCCCTGTGGCCTGTAGTATGTGTGCTCTTGGACCCAAGAGCTACTTTTTCTTGCTGTCCTTTCCATTTGGTGCTCCTTATCCTGGGGCTATGGGGACACAAAATGATCAAGAAATTGAGCATGATGGTTCATGTCTACGTGTAGGAGAGGGAGGCAAGAGGATTGCCAAGAGTCCCTGGCCCAGTTTTTCTCATCCCTTAGCTTCCAGGCTGTTCTCTTGCTCCATGTGTCCATGGTGGTCCCCATCCTTTGTTATTCGTCCTTTCCTAAGCACTGGATTGAAAACTTCACCTTGCAATACTCTAGGGCCCCTTCTGAGCATCGAACTTTAGAAAGGAGGTCATTTATTGCTGGGCATAGTAGTGCATACTTTTAATTTTAGGGAGACAGGCAGATGGGTCTCTGAGTTCTAGGCCAGCCTGTTCTACCTAGGGAATTCCAGATCAGCCAGAGCTACATAGTGAGACCCTGTCTCAATTTTTCTTGGGGGCGAGGGGGCGAGGGGGCGAGTTTGAGGCAGGGTTTCTCTGTGTAAAAGTCCTGACCTGGAACTCGCTATGTAGACCAGGCTGGCCTCAAACTCACAGAGATCTGCCTGCCTTTGCCCCTCAAGTGCTGGTATTAAAAACGTGCACCACTAACACCCAGCCATGTATTTTATCTTTGTGTCTGAGCATGTCTGGGTTCTTCATAGGAGAACTTGTAAAAACCTCCTCTACCTTACAGTTATTAACAGGGGCTGCTGCTTCAAGGAGCTTAGACTTATTAAGTTCCTACCACAGTCCTGCCAGGTGGAAAATATCCCCATTTTACAGATGGGGAAGTTGTGGCCAAGCAGTCTATATAGTTTTTCTTAGCAAGCTCCTCAAGAGGTCACATTTTAAACTCTGGCAGTTTCCCCCTGATTTCCATGGCCTTGACCTTTCTGCTCTGGTTGGCAGCGCATCCAGTATGCCAAGACTGACTCGGACATCATTGCCAAGATGAAGGGCACCTTTGTGGAAAGGGACCGCAAACGAGAGAAGAGGAAGCCCAAAAGTCAGGAGACACCAGCTGCCAAAAAGGCTGTTCAGGGTGGGGCAGCTGCCCCCGTGGTGGGCGCTGTTCAGCCTGTACCGGTAAGCCAGGGGGCAGGACCATGTCCATCTGTCAGGCTTTCAGCCATGTGGCCTGGGGTGGGGGTAGACTGAGAGGACTTGTCCCATTGGGTTGGTGAGCCATGTGGTGGAGGGGTCTCTTGGGTGCCTCTTCCCCAGCGTACACTTGATTGTCTTTGAAGATCTGTCTTTTGCACATCTGTCTTCTGGTTCCCTTTCCTTGGTTTTGTTTGGTGTATTTTTACTTGAGTACTGTGTGTGTGTCTGTGTGTGCTAAGTTCGTGACTTTATAGAAAGTTAAAAGTTATCAGCTTCCTGTTAGAAATAATAGGCAAATTTAGAGGGACTAGTGGATTATAAAGTAAAAATCAAAGCAATCGACAGCCTGTGGGAGGCCTCCATTCAATCCCTAGTTGTACAAGCAGAAGGAAGAATGAAGAGTCAGTTGTTCGAGTTGATGAGCAAAGCTGGCACACTGGGAAATCTCCGCAGCAGGTAGGAGGTTGAGTGTCAGCACTGCAGGGTTTTATTCTTTGGGGCCCTACTACCCAGCTCCCTAAATAAATACACAAAGACTTAGTCTTTCTTATGCATACCCAGCCTTCACTTGGCTTGTTTCTAGCCAGCTTTTCTTAAATTATCCTGTCTACCCTTTGCCACTGGGCTTTTCCCTTTCTCTGCGTTATGACTGAAGGCCAGTAGAGGGCACCAGACCTCATTACAGATGGTTGTGAACCACCACGTGGTTGCTGGGAATTGAACTCAGGACCTTTGGAAGAACAGGCAATGCTCTTAACCTCTGAGCCATCTCTCCAGCCCCCTTTCTCTGTTCTATATACCTTTCTTGACTCTTACTCTGCTCCTGATCTCCCCCTCTCCTTTTCTCACTCGTACCTCTTGTACCTTTTTATCTATTCTCTCTGCTTGCCAGCTCTCCCTGTCCCTCTCCTGCTTAACTATTGACCTTTAGACAGGCAAAGAAACACAGCTTCACGGAGTTAAACAAATGCAATGTAGAAGAATGCAACACATCTTTGCATCATTAAACAAATGCTCATTTTCAACTAATATTCTACAACACTACGCACTGATCTAGGGCAAACCAACATGATCCTTGATGTGTTGACCATTCTGATAAAAGTACTTGCCTGGCAACCTGAGTTCGGTCCTTGGCTCCCATGGTAGGAGGAGGGAACCAATTCTGGAGAGTTATCCGGGACTGAAGAAGGTTCTAGAGTTCCAGACTTCAAGATGGCCTGCCATAGACTATGGATAGAAAGATAAGCTGAAGAGACTGGATACTTGCCTTAAGGAGGCTATGCAGATCTGATGCAGGGCAATTGGATCTACAAGAGAAAAGCATAGCCCCGCCTAGGGCGAGGCATTTGGGTCCGTGGTAGCCTGTAATTGTAGTTTTAGGGAGATTGAGGCAAGAATCGGGAGTTTGAGGTCATTCTGGGCCTCATTTTGAGAAAAATGAACTCAGACTGAATCATGAGCTGAATGTGACAGCAGACTACAAAGATAGTAGAGAAACCTTCAGTGTCCTGTCGTCTTGCCGAGTGCATGAGAAGTGGAATCTCCTTCTGTGCAGGACACCGGAAGTCCTGAGCAGAAAACAAAAGATGGCTGGATTTTGCCCCTCCTTCCTTCTCTGTCTTTTGTCTTTTGAGTCTTTCAGTCTCTTGATGTTCAGGCTGGGTCATGTATTGAAGCTAGTGGTGGTGTCTGTGTGTCTTTAGCTTGTTATCAATTTCATTTTAGATTACATTTTGCTTATTGTGTGTGTAGCCCATCAGTCCTGCCCTCTTCTCCACAGGGTATGCCGCCCATGACTCAGGCTCCCCGCATCATGCACCACATGCCAGGCCAGCCTCCTTACATGCCACCACCTGGCATGATCCCGCCACCGGGCCTTGCTCCTGGCCAAATCCCCCCTGGGGCCATGCCCCCGCAGCAGCTCATGCCTGGACAGATGCCGCCTGCCCAGCCTGTAAGTGACCCCACCCCACTGTAAGGTCTCACAAGCATGGTTTGCACGCAGAAGTGGATCAGTTATTTGGGGCTCTTAGGTCAGGTGGGAGGTGTTGCTGCGCTCTCTGTGGGTGAGCCATCCTGGGTCAGAGGGGTTGACTTATGTGTTGGTCTGGGGGAGCAGAGTGAGGCTAAGTCAATGAAGGTCTGCATCTGGGTGTCGTGTGTGTGCTAGGGCACCTTGTGCTGTCCTAGCCCCAGCACACAGTAGTGGTAGTAGCTGGAAGGTCTCTGCTGCCTTGGGACTGCAGTCTCTGGGCACTGGCCCTGGGGAGAGGAACAACAATGTATGCATTGGGGAACATGTGAGAAAGATTCTGAACAGGGTGGTGAGCAGAGTGCAGTAGCAGGCATTCTTCCTGGGGTACCCCTGCTCACTGGCAGCCATCTCTCCCAACAGCTCTCCGAGAATCCACCCAATCACATCCTGTTCCTCACCAACCTGCCTGAGGAGACCAATGAGCTCATGCTGTCCATGCTTTTCAACCAGTAAGTGGGGCTTCTGGCTGGGCTGGTGGGTTCCGGTGTTCGGTGGTCACGATAGTGTCTGGTAGGCTCGGTGGCTGAAGGCGTGAAAGGGGGAAAGGAAGACGGCCATGGGGCACTGTGCTATGAGCACCATGTATTGAGGTCCTGGGCTGCTTTTTGTGTCTGACACCGAGAAGTGCAGAACAAGGGAAAAGTAAAAGAGGAGTAAAATGTGGGAACCGGTTTAGACTGGCATGAGCCAGCCTGTTCAAAAATTGGCCAGGGACACTGAGGACACTAGGGATTCGATGGAACCTGTAGACCTTGAGTGAGGGACTGCTGGGTGGACCAGGGCTGAAGCTTTCCTAGTTACAGAAATGTCTGTCAAACCTGGGTATGGTGGAGTCTGGGGACCTGGAAGACTAAAGCAGGATTGACTTTGGGCTTTGGGGGAAGGAAGAAGTGCCAGAGTTCAAGCCGCATTGTGGTTTGGCTGTTAAGGCTTTTCTTTCAATGGTGTTTATAGTAGGGTTTTGCCTGTGTTGTGTCCAGGTAATCTTTTGGTATGGGGTCTGTGCTGTGCATTATGGGAAGCTTAGCACCTCTGAATTCTGTCATTTTGTTGGTGCCAAATATTAGGGGAATGCCGAGGGGGTCTCTGAGGTCTGCTCTTTCCTCCTCCCAGGTTCCCTGGCTTCAAGGAGGTGCGTCTGGTCCCCGGGCGGCACGACATTGCCTTTGTGGAGTTTGACAACGAAGTGCAGGCTGGGGCAGCACGAGATGCCCTGCAAGGCTTTAAGATCACGCAGAACAATGCCATGAAGATCTCTTTTGCCAAGAAGTAGCGCCTTCCCCCACGGGGCGTCCCGGTCCCCATTCTGGGGCTGCCCCTTACCCCCCCTTTGGCTCAGTCCCTGAAGGTAAGTCCCCCTTGGGGGCCTTCTCAGAGCCGCGTGTGAGTGTGTGGTTGCCACACAGCATTGTACCCAGAGTCTGTCCCCAGACATTGCACCTGGCGCTGTTAGCTTGTGATTAAAGTGGTTTTTTTGAGGGTTGGTTTTTCACCACTATTGTCTGTTTTATTTTGTCTTCCTTGGTTCCATCCACATGGAGAGGTTGAATCTCCTGGCCTCTGTGGGTTCGCTCACAATCTTAGAAAACCATTATTGAGGACAGGAAAGACACCGTGTGCATTTGGGCAGGTCGTGAGCTGCACAAGGATACTCCTGCTTCAGAAGGGCCAGCTTCTGCACGCTATTACAGAGGAATGGCTCACTGAAGCTGTCCCTGTGGCATTTGAAAGAGCAGGACAGAGCTGTTGCTTGCATCACTAAGGGACTCCCATGTTATTGCAGACAGGCAAGTGGAAACATCTCTTTCCACATTGGCCTAATGGCTGTGACATGTGGGTTCTGTGGTTAGCCCATCTGATTTGTAGTAGTTTGGGGCCTCCCTAGCTGTCACTCAGTGGGCAGTTTTTTCTTCCTGTGTGAGAACTCTTGTTCCCGCCATGATGATGATCATGTTTGTTCCCACGAACACCACCAGGCACCGTGCCAGCAATCAGCAGATTCAGTATATACTTGCTGAATACTAGGAGATGCTGAATAAAACTTGAGAGCGAAAATTAAAGCTGATAGGCAGGACTTTGGTCCTAGTACCCAGAAGGCTGGGGTAGGGGGATTGCCCTGAGTTCCCTGGCAGCCTGAGCTGCTGTGGTGGGGCTGTAGAGCTAGGAACAGTAGGCTAATCAGGGGAAAGTTCCTCTGAGGAGGTGTCCTAGGTGGAGCCGCTAGTGCTGGGTTTGTAGAGGTGTTTCATTTATCTCCACCCCCTGATAAACTCCTTTCTGACTAAGCCAATGTGTGACCATTGCCTGCCTGCCGCGAGGTTGTGCCTGGCAGGCTCAGAGGTCAGGGTGCCCTGAGTCACTGCTGTGATCTTGACAAGTGACTGAACTTGGGGCCAGTTTTCTCTTCTGCAGGGCAGAAAATGAAAGTCAAAGCACAGCAGTGTAGAGTGGCCAGTACTGCCCGAAGCGAAGGTGGTCTTGGACCAAGTGCCCCAGCTACTCGGCCACCAGAGCATTTCTGGAGGCAGTGCCAAGATCCTGAGGTGGGGGTGCTTTAGTGCTTGAGCTGAATGTGGTGAGATGGGTGAGGGGAGTACAGGGTGGGCAGTAGAAGCTGCCTTGGTCACATGGGTCCCGTATGAACTGTGTGTGTGGTTAGCCTGGGTCTTTGAACATGGCTCTGGTGTTTGTGCTTTTAAAATCCCCTGTGGTTTTGAACTGGTGACCTGCTTCAGAAGCAAAATCCCTGTCTAACTGAAGCCTGAGTTCAGAATCCTGCAGTACTTTTTTCCATCTTGACTTTTTTATGTTTATTTATGTATGTGAGTGACCTGTCTTCATGCCCACCAGAAGAGGGCGCCAGACCCCATTACAGATGGTTGTGAGCCACCATGTAGGTGCTTGGAATTGAACTCAGGACCTCTGGAAGTGCAGCCAGTGCTCTTCGCTCTTCTCTGAGCTAGGCTGAGCCAACCCCCTTGCCTGCACCTTCCCAGTGTGTATCAGCATCTCCCATCACACCTGGCCTCTTACATTTCACGTCAACTAAGCATTGATCATATTAACAGCTGTAACTTTGGCAGTGGGAGGTGTGACGGTAAAACTAGCAACTTTTTTCCTCACAATTTCACAGAATCTGTTATTTCCATTCTTTTGGTTTTTCCTCTGTGTAATAGCCCCGGCTGTCCTGGAACTTGCTCTGCAGATCAGGCTGGCCTTGAACTCACAGAGATCCACCCGTCTCTGCCTCCTGCGTGCTGGGATTAAAGGCATGCACTACCATTACCTGGCTTTTTTAAAATGGAAACCTTTTACCTCATCCCTTGGAGAAAGCCTGAAACTTTTTGGCTAAGGTCGTTCTCCCCCCCCCCCCCCCCCCCCGTGTGGTAGTAGAGCGATGACTAAGCAGAGCAGTGAAGATCATTTGCTCTTTCAGGGGCCCAGGTTTGGTCCCAACACCCTCTTTGGTTCATAATTGCCTGTGACTCCAGCCCCAGGGCATCTAATGCCTTCTTATGGCCTCCATAGGCAGCTGCACTCACATGCACCCCCCCCCCCCATATACATAAATAAAAGTTTAAAAATAAAATGTTTGCTTGTTTGTGCTTTGTACATTCCAGATCCTCCTGCCCAGACTCCCAAATGCTGGAACTATAGGTCTACGTCAGCACACTTGGCAGCATCGCTGCTTCTGTGCTGAGTCCACTATGAAGTACAGTAAGGATGACTTAGTCACAGGCAGTTGAACATAGCCGTGGTCTGCTTCCATGAATGATGATAACGTGTACAATGTGCTAGACTGGACACAAATCTGATTCACATCCTTGGCGTGCTGAAATGGAACTAGGTGGGATTTCATTTCAGTATTCAAAATAACTTGTAATTTAAAATTTAAAAAATACTTCTAGCTGGGCGGTGGTGGTGCACGCCTTTAATCTCAGCCCTAGAGAGGATTATAAGACAAGAGGAGACAGCTCTCAGACTCAGTCTCATTTCTGAGGTTTCCTGGAGGCGGGATGGCCATTTTTGGACTGAGGTAGAGGTAAGAGGAAGTGGCTGAGTGCTCTGCTTTCTGAATTTCAGGTTGAACCCCAATATCTGTCTCTGAGTTTTTATTAAAATGCTACACACACACACCCTTTGTACCCTCAAATCTCTTTTTTTGTTTTTGTTTTGTTTTTTGAGGCAGGGTTTGTGTAGCCATGGCTATCCTGAAACTAGCTCTGTAGTTCAGGCTGGCCTCAAACTCACAGAGATCTGCCTGCCTCTGCCTCCTGAGTACTGGGATTAAAGTGTCCTATATCAGAAGTTTTTGTTTTTTAATTTTAGGAACTGGACTTAGGAATGGTTGTGAGCCACCATGTGGTGTTAGGAACTGACAACTGAGGTTTTGGGGTAGTTTGTTGACTTAGAAGTCACCATATAGCAGGATGATATGTCCTAACCTCACTGCCCAAGTTATTCGGCCTCTGGGTGGACCTCAGAACCCAGTACCAGGCCAGGTCCTACCAACTGAGCCTCATCCACAGCCTCCTATTTATTGGATAATTGTCTCCCAGAGGCCTTCAGCTTTTTCCCTGATGAGTCTTGATGGTGCTAAGATTTGAAGCTAGTGTAGTGTTTACACGGAAACAACCACTGCACACTGGAACGCATTCACATTTTAAATTGGGAATTCAAACATGAAGACAACACGCTATCTCATGTTCTCTGCTACCAGCTTTTCTTATACCAGCTTATGACCAAAGCTTTTAAGTAAATCTCCATAACCTAAGCTCTTAATTCACACTGATCTTACCGGTTGTATTTTTTGTTGGACACTGAACCCAGGGGCTTTGTGAAGGCTTGACACGCTCCATCCCAGGCCCCTTGTATAAATGATAAATTAGCATACATTATTTTTGTGTTGAGGATTAAACCCGAGACTAACAGACATTCAACCCTATTTTAGTTACTATTCTATTGCTGTAAGAGACACCAGGACCAAAGCAATTTAAAAAGAAAACATTTACTTGGCTTGTTTACAGTTTGGGAGGATTAGTTCATGGCCATTATGGTGGCTATCATGGCAAGAGGCCAGCAAGGTGCTGGAGCTTACATCTGATCTGCCAGATGGAGGCAGAGAGCTGGGCTTTTGAAACCTCAAAGCCCACCCCCAGTGACACATCCTCCAACAAAGCAACCTGTCCCAATCCTTCCTAAATAGCCCCACAACTGAGAACCACTCAACTGTAATAGCCTATAGGCACAGTTCTCATTCAAACTGCCACAGCCACTAAGCCATATAACATCTTTATGAGGTCCCCAGACACAATTTTTGGGCCTCTGTTCCCTGATTATCTGTTGAGCTATTCCTCAGGCCAGATAACACTGATACTTGGAAACCTTGAGACAAATCTTGGCCCCCTTCATGGGTCAGTTACTTTGCACACATGTTCCTTGACTATATTAATAATTTCTTCATGAACTGGGCTTGTTAGAGCCCCTAGGGGGGAAAATATACTTGATTCTAACCCTGCATGGTGGTGCATGCCTTACCCATCACCGGGAAGGCAGAGGCAGGTGGATCCCTTGTGACTTTGAGGCCAGCCTGCTCTATATAGGGAGTCCCAGAACAGCCAAGACTATGTAGTAGAACTCTGTTTCCAAAAAAGGGTGGACTGGGAGCTGGAGAAATGGCTCCGCAGTTAAAGAGTACTGAGTGCTCTTCCAGAGGACCTGGGTTCAATTCCCAGCACCCACACGGCAGCTAACAACTGTAACTGACAGCATCACACAGACGTACATGCAGGCAAAACACCAATGAACATTAAAAACAAAAGGAGGGGATGGTGGGCTGGAATGATGGCTCAGTTAAGAGCAGAGCACTGGATGCTCTTCTAGACTCAGGTTTGTGGGGGCACACAACTGTCACTGTCTGTAGCTCCAGTTCCAAAACCTTCAAGGGTACCAAGCACACATGCGGTACACAGACATATATGTAACAAAACATTTACACACCAAAACAAAAATAACATTTGATAAATGTCCTTTACTTTCATTGCTGTCTTTGCAGATGAGGGGGGCTGACATAGCTTAGCTCAGGCCTTCCAGGGAAGAGGAAGCCTGTGAAGATGCACAGTAAGCCAGGTGGGACACTCCTAGCCTGAGACTGGACATTGGGTGTTTGCTCAGTACCTGGGAACTGTGGCTGTGGCTGCTAATCAAAGAACTGCCTTGTTCCTGGCACAGGAAATTCCAAGGTGGTTTTCTATGCTGGCCTCTCTAGTTTGGTCTCTGGAGGGTCCGGGTACCTGAAATGACTTGAAGAAGAAATCTGATTAGTTCAGCCTGCCTATCCAGGTCTCTGATTATTGAGGGGGTAGCTGCTATTTGGAGTGGCCTGGGTTGCTTTGGGCTCCAGGGGGCATTTTCTTTGGCCCATAGCCCTTACCCTGTCTCTGAAATGGTTCTGTCTGAATAACAACCTTGGGGAGTGGGTGGGGGGGGGTGTAATTTGGTCTGGGGCGGAGACAGGATTGAGAACACAGCTTTCCTTGTGGCTCAGCACTGAGGGAGGGCAGCAGGAGACTGGAGATCCCATTCCTCACTTGGTCATTCTCAGTCCACGATGGTGCGGTCCCCAGTACTCCTTGGTGCCATCTTCTTGTCTGTTTTCCCAGGGCCCAGCGGGGCTGATCGTGACATGCCCAAGCTGGCTGAGTGGAAGCTGTGTGCGGATGAGGAATGCAGCCGTAAGAGTCAGGGAAGAAGGGCAAGGGGCTGAGGGCTTGGACTGCTGGTCTATGTTAATGTTGCTGTCGTTCCGTCTCCCTCTCCAGATCCTATCTCCATGGCTGTGGCCCTTCAGGACTACATGGCCCCCGATTGCCGCTTCTTGAATGTATACAGGGGCCAAGTGGTGTATGTCTTCTCCAAGCTGAAGGGCCGTGGACGGCTCTTCTGGGGAGGCAGTGTGAGTCTTCAGAATTAGAGGGAAGGGTATGGAGTACCCTGTTTTCCCTCTGAAGGGAAAATTTGGGTGAGGGGGGCACAGATTTGGGGGGTGAGGATATTTTATCACCCATTGCGCTTTTACTTTAGCAATTACAGGGCAGATTGGTTCCAAGCTCTTTTCCAGACCTCAGCTATATCAGTGAACAACCCCTTTAATTTCTAATGGGTGGAGACAGGGAACCAGCATGCCATTGTGAGGATTAGTTGTGGTGGCTACATTCTGTCCATGAGCAAATGACGTTAAGCTGAGGTTCAAATGAGAGAAGATTGTGCACTGGAGTTCAGCAGGCACGAGTGCCCTTTTTTCCCAGATGGACTTACAAGTTCTTCTCCAGGTCCAGGGAGATTACTATGGAGACACGGCTGCCCGCCTGGGCTATTTCCCCAGTAGCATTGTTCGGGAGGACCTGATTCTGAAACCTGCCAAAATTGATATGAAGACAGATGTGAGTGTCTTGGGGTGGAGGTGGGAGCGGGAGGGTGAGGGCTCCTTCATTTTCTCACCTGAAAATGAGAAGAAATTATTTTTGTTGTTGTTAGTAATATATATATATTTTTTTCTTTCTTGAGACAGAGTGTGTACCCAGGCTGGCTTCAAAATTACTAGCCTTCAGCTCCAGCCTCCTGAGGGCTGCTTCGTTTTCAGGCATGTGCAACTAGGCCCTGTTCAATGCCGAGTGATTTCTAATTGGGAAATGCAGAGGTTACAGGGCTGGAAGATAATTTGTTCATTTCTGTGAGGTCAAACCTGGTCCTTGCACCGGTTTCCTATCTACTGTTTTTTCCCTGTTCTCTTTTTCAGAAATGGGATTTCTACTGCCAGTGAGCTCAGCCTACCGTTGTCCCTGCCGTTTACCTTCCCAGCTTTATACAAATAGAACAGCCAACTGCAAACTGTTTTGTCTCTTTGGTTTTTGAGGTTGGGTGGACATGTGCAAAGAAAATGTTTTTTTGGGTTTCCGATCTAGCCAATCAATGACCTGAATGAGGTTACGTCAGTGGTTGCTACGTAGAGTTTTACTGTTGTAAGCCCTTCGCTCCTAGCTGGGTAAGGTCTGGGGCCCTGAGCAAAGGAATAAACTAAACAGTACAATATATGTATGCTTTCCTCCCTGGGGAAGGAGTTGAACTATTGGTAACGAGCCAGTTGAATAGATCGCACAACAGACTTGTTTGTTTGAGACAGGGTCTCATTGTGTAACCCTGGCCTGGAACTCACTATGTAGATCAGGCTGGCCCGGAACTCATAGATAGGCACCTGCCTCTGCCTCCCTAGTGGTGGGGTTGAAGGCGTGCGCCAACATGCCCGACCAGCAGAGGTTTTCTTGCAAATGGGGAGCAACGTGTGCGTGCCCTCTCAGCTTTCCTCCTTCCTGCCTGTGGGGTTAGAAATCGCACCCAGCGGCTTGAGATCCCCTCTTCCAACTCTGTCCATCCTGCCCTTGCCACTTCTTGGCATTCGTGTCCCCACCCCCAGACCCACGTCTAACCAATCCGGAGTCTCGTTTCTGCACCCAGAATCCTGACCAAATCCGTTCGTCCGCGAGGCGCAGCATCTCTGCCTCCGCCCCCTCCCGCTTACTCCGCCAATCGCTCATCTGGGTTACGCCCCTTTCGACTCGGCCCCTAACATGACACCAATCTGCGCCGTCCGTCCCGCCCACTGCCTTCCGAGTCCGCCAATCCCGGCGTTGGGCAAGCGTGGCCTGGTATCCGCAGCTCTGGAGATTCGCGCGGGAGTGGGGGGGGGTGAAGGCGGAAGTGGCGGCGCCGGGTCCGGGAGTGGAAAGGAGCTGAGGCTGCAGCCCGAGTGGAGCGGCTGCCAGCCGAGGAGCAGGCGCGGCCGCGGCGCCATATTGCGGCCCTCAGCGGTCGCCACCGAGCCATGGCCGAGACCTACGGTGAGGCTGGCGGGTCGAAGCGGGGGGGCTGGGCCCGTAGAGGATGCGGATGTGGAAGTGGGGCGGGGCTTTCTGTTCAGGGGGCGGGGTCTGCGGCGATGTAGGGCCGGGCTAAGTGGGTCTGGAGCTGAGCTTAATCGATTTGGGTGGAGCTTGGGAGACTGCTGTGTGAGTTAAAAAGATTCAGGGCGGGATTTGAGGGAGCCAGTGATGGTAATTTAGGGTAGGGGGTTAGGTCCAAGGAGGGAAGCAAGCCTTCCTGGGCGGAGCATGAGTGGATAGGGCGGGGCTGACGGTGAATGGCAAGGGTCGGGCTTCATGGAGTAGAGAGAACCTCGCACAAATGCTGTGAACCCTTGCACACCCTGTGGGGCTGATCTGGTTTGAGAGGTCTGGAGTGGTGTCCTGGAGTTATATTTAAAACTTAAGTGTCACCGGATGCGGCTTAAGTTTAAGGATAATGGCCAACTGTACTGGGCAGAGGATGAGGAGAAGAGATTCAGGGTTAGGAAATCAATATGGATGGGCAGTATCATGTAGGTGGAGGGAGGTCCGAGGGCAGTAAAGAATCTAGTGCGAAGACCCTGAGGAGCTAACCAGTTTAGGAAATAGGCCAAAATGTCAGCGGCCTTGACAGTGAATGAGAGGGTAGTAGGAGGGGAAGTGAAGGGGAAGGGAGGCCAGATTTAATCATTGTTCACATAGTTTTTGAAATGCATCAGCTAAGGTCTTGCATTGTGAAGACCTTTAGTCTGGGTTTGAATATCTAGCTGTGTGGCCTTGGGCAAGTTGATTAACCTTTCTGGCCTCATTCTCCTAGTCTGAAAAGTAGGGATCCTTAGTATACTTCCCTCTTTAGATCTCTATTTGGGATTAAATGAGCTGTCAACATACATAATAATCTTTAGGACTGTCTTGAGTGCATATATATATGTATATATCTACATATATACACACATATATGGTAAGCACTATGTAAGGATAATCTTGTGTGCCATAATCCTCACATCTGGGAGACTGAGGCAGGAGGATCTTCAAGTTAGAGGTCTGCCTGAACTACAGAGTAATATTCTAAAAGAAAGAAAAGTGGAATGTGCTGGCACATTCTGTAATCCCAGGAGTGGGGAGGCTGAGGCAGGCCGACTAGAATTCAAGGCCTTATAGTGCTACACAATGAGTCCCTGACTAGAAGGTAAAGGAAAGAAATACAGGGTATGGCTGCATAGATTTATAATCCCAGCATTCCTTTACAGATTGAGGCAGGAGGATTGCTTGGAGTTGAGGACAGCTAGGTCTCGAATACATATTGAAACTTTGTTTCAATAATCAGTAATAATAACAACAACAATAGTAATAATGAGTAAAAGTGTCATCTTGGGCTGGGTTGTAGGTCAGTTCGGAAAAAACACTTGCCTAGTATGCAGGATGCCCTGCATTCTGTCTAGAGCACTGTAGATTTTTTTTTTTTTTTAAAAAAGCAATGTTTTACTGTTCATTATGTATGGCTGTTTCTGCTTTGATGGTTTTTTTTTCTTTCTATTTTTCCTTTTATTCCCTGTGTCTTTCTCTCCCTTGATCCTTGGCACCATCTGCTCAGACTTCCTCTTCAAATTCCTGGTGATTGGCAGTGCTGGAACTGGCAAATCATGTCTCCTCCATCAGTTCATTGAGAATAAGTGTGAGTTTCTGGCAGGACCCTGGAAGCGTGGATGTGGCCATGGTGTGGGTCAGTGGGCAGTAGGCGGGGTAGGTAGCAGGGACCACTGGGTAAAGCTAGTGCTGTAGCTTTGCCTCCGGCCTTGGTGGACGATCTCTGCTAAGTTCTCTGCCAACCCAGCAGTGAGAATTGGGTTGTAGAAACTGAGGAGGAGGCCTGCAGGACGGGGGAATTCCAGGAGCCCCTGCACTGCCTCCTCTTTCCCTCCCACTCCCAGTCAAACAGGACTCCAACCACACCATTGGCGTGGAGTTTGGATCCAGGGTGGTCAATGTTGGGGGGAAGACTGTGAAGCTCCAGATTTGGGACACTGCCGGCCAGGAGCGCTTTCGGTAGGTGGCCTGGGATCACGAGGAGGGAGGAGGGAAGGGCAAGGTGTGAAGTGTCTTTTAGGGATGAAATAAGAGCAAGGAGGTGCTGAGAGGGCAGGGCAGCTAGATGCAGAGAGACGGGGGATATGTCTGAGCAGAGAAGTCCTAGAGAGAAAAGGCTAGATGTGATGGTTCAGGTCTGCAATGGCAAACATAGGAGGCTGAAGCAGGACTGTGAGTTGGAGGCCAGCCTGGGCTAACATGACAATGAAGAAGGGTTGGAATTGTAGCTGAGAGGGAGAGCCCTAGACCAAGTAGTGTAAGGCCCTGGGTTTGATTCCCATTTCAGAAGAGAGGGAAAGAGAGAAGGGAAGCTTGGCATGTGGTAGTGCCAGAGCTAGAGCCCCTGCCTGGAATCCCCCAGTGAGGGACTGGGGGGTGTGGCTCAGAGCTAGAGCCCATGCCTGGAATCCCCCAGTGAGGGGCTGAGGTATGGCTCAGTAGTAGAGCCCCTGCCTGGAATCTCCCAGTGAGGGGATGGGGTGTGGCTCAGTGATGGAGCCCCTGTCTAGAGTTCTCCAGAGCTCTTGCCTAGCTTGTACAAGACCTTTGGTGCCATCCCCAGGAGCAGAAAGAAGAAAAAAATAAATAAAAGGCTTAAGGATATGAATAAGTAGTTTTATTTTTTTAATTAGTTAATTGTCTATGTGTATATGCCTAAGTATATGCATATATACTATATACGTGCAGGAGCCCCCAGAGGTCAGAAGAGTGTATCAGATACCCTAGGGCTGGAACTATAGGTAGTTGTAAACTACCTCTGGGTGCTGCGTATGGAACCCATGTCCTCTACGAGAGCAGTAAGCCTTATCAACCAACTGCTGAGCCATCTAGCCAGCCCCAAGGAGTGGTGTTTGGAGAGGGAGCTTAAGACAGACACTGAAACCTCAAGGAGCTACAGCCTTGGAGGGAAGGAGACACAGACAGGGAGTCGAAGATGAAGGAGTAATCAAGGCAGGAATGGGCACAGAAGGAACAGGTCAGAAGCTGAGGTTCGGGAAGGGTTGGGCAGCTGTGGTTGAGAAGGATAGGTGAGTGTATTGCATGTGTGGAAAATGGGAAAGCCGGGGCACCTAGTAGGTCTGCAGAAACAGAAACCCTGAGAGTGCGAAACAGAAAGAGCAGAGGGAGGGAGTTTCTCTCTCTCTCTCTCTCTCTCTCTCTCTCTCTCTCTCTCTCTCTCTCTCTCTCACACACACACACACACACACACACACACACACACACGGCGGGGGGGGGGCGGATATTCAGCTTGTGGAGAATCTGGCCTTAGCATATAGCAGCCGCTAATTAACTCATGTATAGATTGATTATGTGAGGTATGTAGAACCCAGAGGCAGAGAGAGGCAGGCATGTGACATAGCCTGTGTTTGCAGTAATCACCTGCATTCCAGAGGGATCCAAACTGGTGACAAAGGGAGTGGGCCACACAGGAAAGGGGACCTGCATCAGCCAGCAGGGAGGGAGGGTAGAAGGTGAATCGTACCTGGGCAGGACAGGCAGATGGGCGATACTGAGAAAATGCTGACTGACTCACTGAAGGAATGAATGAGGGAAGGCAAAAGTGAGCATGGAAGAGACGGAGTAAGAAAGACTGACAGACAAGAAAGAAAATTGAGGAAATTATGGGAAATTATGCTGGGGGTGGTGGTAGATGCCCGTAATTTCAGTTCCTTGAGAGGTTTAGACAGGAGGATTGCAGTTCATGCCATGGCTCAGTGGGTAAGAGTGCTTGCTGCACACCTGAGGACCCGAGCTTGAGCTCAGGAGAGAACCAGTTCCTACAAGAGTCCTCTGCCCCCCACACATGCGCTGTGGTACACGTAAGCCCACCCCCACCCACATAAAAGAAACAATTAAGTAAGAAAGTTCCAGAGTCAGCCTGGGTAAGTTGCCATGATGTTGAGTTAAACTAAAAGGTTGAGCTACAGCTCTGTGTAGACCATGTACCAGGCCAGTCCTAAGCACCCCTGGGTGTGGTGGCTGAGGCAGGGGAGTTCCCTGAATATTGAAGCCAGGGGGGCTGCTTAGTCAGTTTCAGGACAGCTTGGACTAGAGAATGAGACTGTCTCAAAAAAAAAAAAAAAAAAAAAAACAAACCCAAATAATAACAATAATTGAGATAAACTGTATCTCAAGGAGACCAAGGTCAGGTTTTAGGGGATGGGCCAACAGTAAAGGGGGTGGGCGCCAAACCACTAGCCTCTCTCCACAGAGGGGGGCAATCCCGGGGCAGATCGCAGCGTTGGGTTGACTGGGTCCCCCTGGTCCCACAGGTCGGTGACACGAAGTTATTACCGAGGGGCAGCTGGAGCCCTGCTGGTGTACGACATCACCAGGTGGGTGCAGGGTCTGGGTGGCAAGGGAGAGGCTGGGCATGGATGGCCCCACTCCTGTGCTGCCTCCTTCTTCTGTCTGCTCTTCACAGCCGAGAGACATACAACTCACTAGCTGCATGGCTGACTGATGCCCGGACGCTGGCCAGCCCCAACATCGTGGTCATCCTCTGTGGCAACAAGAAGGATCTGGATCCAGAGCGTGAGGTTACTTTCCTCGAGGCCTCCCGCTTTGCCCAGGAGAACGGTGAGGGCTGTGCTGTGGACCAGGTGATGGGTGGAGGGATGGGCCCGTGCACTGTGGCCCATGAGCCTCTTAGCTTTCGGTGGATGGTTGTACCTTCAGCATGGAGGCTTCAGCAGGCCTGCTTTAGGAGTCATGTGACTGCTGTGGTCTTCAGGTCCAGCTAGAAAGAGGATGAGCAGTATGCTGGCCACGGGAACTACCATCACACTCTTAGCGCCTCCTGGTCCAGAGGAGTTGCTGGAAAATTCCCTTCACCATGTGGAGGCAGCACAAGTTTAAGGTGGCTACTGCAAACTCAGCTGGCCATCGAGATAATCCTTTGTGACTAAAGGCTAGCTTCAGACTCACTATGTTGCCCAGGCTGACCCAGTCCTCCGGACCATCTGTGTTGTCTCTGCCTCCACTAGGACTGTGGAGGGTACACAACCATGTACACAATACATGGCCTCCTGATTTTCAGACCCCCAGGTTTAGAAGAGGTTTTGCTGCCAGGCAGATGTGGGTTTAAATCTTGCATATAACTTCAGTGTGAGGTCCTATCATGTGACCTCTGGGTGGCTGAGGTGGGCTTAGGGCGGTGTTCAATGAGTCTGGGGACACCGATGAACTCATGAAGCTCGTAGTGCCGTGGTAGAGGCGGGAGGCAGACTCATTTGCTGACAGTAATATCAGAGAGAAGTCACTGCTAGGACAGGAGGCTCTTGGGAGTCCAGAGGGGTCTCCTGATTTAGGCATGGTCAGCAAGGAGGGTTTCTGGGGGCCACGGGTGCTGAGTTGAGAAGGAAGAGGTGGGTGAGTACTTGTATTTGTAGGGAGACCGCATTCCCGGCAAGGGAACCTGTGTACAGTGGCCGAGGTAAGGGCAAGCATGGACAGAGCTTTTGAGTTGGAGGATGGGAACTGATAGAGACCCTGCCCCTCCAGAGCTGATGTTCCTGGAGACCAGTGCTCTCACGGGTGAGAACGTGGAAGAAGCGTTCCTGAAGTGCGCGCGCACCATCCTCAACAAGATTGACTCAGGTGAGGCCCACCTGCTTCCTGTGAGAGATGGGGGTGGGGGAACTGGTTAAAGGTAGTCTCCATGGGCTCTGAGGAACTCTTCTGGCCTCTCCGCTCCCACAGGTGAACTAGACCCCGAGAGGATGGGCTCAGGCATTCAGTATGGTGACGTATCTCTTCGCCAGCTGCGGCAGCCTCGTAGCGCTCAGGCCGTGGCTCCTCAGCCTTGTGGCTGCTGAGACCTGCAGAGTCAGCCAGGTGGGATGCTGGGGGTTCAGGAGGCAAGAAGGCTTTCTGTGTTGGGTGGGGTGGGGCACAGAACAGCCACCAAGACTTGGAACGTGTGACAAGAAAAACGGTGACAAAGACACAAAAGCCCATGAACCAAAGGAGCCACCTTCCCAGTCCCCGGGAACTCATGGGCCCTCTGCACCCCAGACCTCTGCCCACCTCGGCCTGCACTTGACCCTTTTTCATGGTTCTCACTGGTGTAATGAGCCTCTGCTGTGTGCTTAGTCCTGGTGAGACCTCTGGGGAGACAGCACTGGGTAAAAACAACCAACCAAATTCTTGTTTGCATTGTACCTACATTGCCTTGGGAGAAGACACACCGTAGGTGAAATATTTACAGACATTATATAGTAGTTAGGGGGCAAAGAGCATGGAGAGAAACAGTCTGATAAGGTGGGAAGGATGCAGAATTCCCTTTTAAACAGGACACCCAAGAAGGTGACATTTAAGCAAAAACCCAGAGCAGGGGAATCAGGACAGGTGAAAAAAGTGTGCGCAGAGGCCCTGGCATAGGATCATATGTGGCATGGCCAAGGAGGCCACTGTGGCTGGAGTGGAGTACCTGTGTGTACTAGGGGTACAGCATGGGGTTGGGGAACTGGCTAGTAAGTATCTAAGGCTCTGGGAAGGTCTCCCAGCTGTACCTAGATGCTACAGTTGCCAGAGAGGGCTACTGGGAGGAGGAGGGAGAGGGTCGGACTCGTGCATCCCAGGAACCCTCTAGCCAGATGCCCGTGAAGGAGCTGCTGGGGCTGAGGACCAGGATCAGCTGAAGCGATAGTGCTTGCCTAGCGTGCATGCAGGAAGCACCAGCTTCCACACTGAGCAGTGTGTTAGCTGGTGGTGATCAGGGGAGTAAGTTGGAGGCCAGCCTGGAAAACATGTCCCTTCTTGAGAACCATCCATGGTTCTTGGGGCCCATGGGACTCTGGGAGGCCCTGTCACCCTGCCCCTGAAGGCTCTTACACATGGTCCTGCTCCTTTGACCTGTCCCGGTCACACAAAAGTTCTTTGTTTCTTTGGGTCTTTTTTCCAGGCCGTGTTTTTTTCTCCTTTGACCTGATAACCTCCTCCTCTAAGAAGCCTTGTTCATTTTTCCATACATGATCCAAACTCCTTGACAGACCTGCAGGACCCTTCCTTACCTGTGACTATGGGTGTCCTTACTAAGTCTCTCTCTGTACTTCAGAAAGCCCAGCTCCTTCTACTCCCCGCCACTGGCAAGTCTGGGATGGCTGTGGGGGGAAAAATCCTTAGGCTTAGATCTGTTTTGCAGGTAGAGCGAGTATGGTTTTCTTTTATGTGCACTGGTGTTTTACTTGCATGTATGTCTATGTGAGGGTGTCAGATCCCCTGGAACTGAGTTGCAGACAGCTGTGAGCTGCCATGTGGGTGCTGGGAATTGAACCTGGGTCCTCTGGAAGAGCAGCCAGTGCTCTTAACCACTGAGCCACCTCTCCAGCCCAGACCAGCATGGTTCTTGCTGGAATGCCTGTGGGATTTGAAAGAGAGTCCAGGGTGAGCCCTTTAGACAGACTTCTTCCTTCCCTGTCTCTGCACTGCTGGTCTGAGCCTGTCTCTTAACCCTGAGTCTGCAGAATGGGGTCAGTCCTAGTCCCTCATGGATGTGGAGGAGAGCAGAGCCTAGCATTTGCTAAGAGTTTGATCCACAAGGCTGTTCACTGATCTCTTTCATGCCCATCTTAAAGGCTCTGGGAGGGTATGTGTGCTGACTGTGTAGCTCAGTAGTGGGGAGCACACCTCACATGTGGGTGGCCTTCTTGGGTGCAGTCCGCAGCAGCACAGAACAAAGCAAAAGGAACATCTAGCTGTGTGGAGATAGACAGGTATCCCAGAAATTATCCATGTCTTCCCAGCTTGCCCTCAATGGGTCACATGTAACCAGTGTGTCATATATTTAGCTAACATAATCATATCTATAGAGAAACTCAATTTTTTTGTACTTGATTTTGGACCCCCTTTGATGTGTTTTTTTTTTTTTTGTGGGGAGGGATCTTGCTATGTATTTCAGGCTAATCTGGAACTTCCTGTGTACCCTAGGATAGCCTCAAACTTGTATCAATCCTCTTGCTTTAGCTTTTTTTTTCTTTTTTT